ACCGATTTAACCTCCGTAAATACTAGGGGATAGCTGATGATTTCATGGGTGGCCTTCCCTGATCATCCAAAGATTACAGCAGCAGTAACAGCAGGCAGTGCTCTTTGGAGGAAGGCAAGTAGACCTGTCTTGTGTGAAAGAGGGAACCCATTTTCTATAAAACTCTGGGAAATCTAAATGTCAATTGAACTAGGAATGTAACCAGTATTACCAAATGCCAAGAGTTGGGCACCAGAGGCCAAAGATTAGTTTCCCCACTTGTGATGGTATCCAACATAATTATGCTACACGGAAATGCAACTACAACTGAAATAATTAAAATAAGCAATTTTATTTTTTAGCTGGACTATTCAAATTTGTGTATGTGGGTGTGAGATGTTTTTTTATTCCTTAACATTTGAAAACAACTAGTAGCCAAGCTGCTGTCGCCAGAAATGTAAATGATGATAAACAGCATAATAACAGGGTTGACAAATACTGCCAAGCATATGGTAGATAGCTGTGGCTGTTATATCTCAGTTGCACCAAGCATATGTCCCCAGATCCTATGAAAATATCATTTAATGTTCTCTGGAAGGTGTAGAAAAGTTGGAATGGTATTTTACTTATGGAAGAAGTCAGCACTGGACATATGTTGGTAAACTGAAAAGTTTAGAGCTTTAACAGAATGAACAATTTTCGGTTCAGGGGAAAAAAAACTGTATTATTTTCCTTTTTAACATAATTCACAGCACTTCAGAAATCAGAGAAAAAAATAATCAATATTTCAGGGCTTAGAATAAGTATTTTAAATAACATCTTAGTTTAATAGTCTCCAGCTTTCATTTTCAATTCAGAGTTAGCACCAGCATATAGTTCCACTAGCTGAACACAGTGTTGCTATGGAAACTAGCACTCTGTCCACCAGAATGTGAACTAGGGCAGGGGAGATGGAAGGCAAAGACAAACGTACTGAACATCTTTCATTGTTTAAATAAAGACTGGTTTCCATCCTTTTCTGAGTACTGCCATCTGCAAATCAAGTTAGTAGAGTGACACCATGAGATCCACCTCCACTGCACACACTTCTGTGCGAAATACCTGTAAGTGAGTAGTTCTTACCTGACGTCTCTATTGTGATTTTAAGTACAGTTAAAATACTGTAACTTGTTATGAGAAAAATAATCCTGTGCTTTTTAAATCAGATCCCAAACACATTTGAAGGTTATAAATATATTCTTTTTTTTTTCATTTTTGCATTTCAGAATGTGAAGTAATCAAGATAATTTTAATTAACTAGCAAAGGCGGCTTTGATTTTTAAAATATTCATTTAAAAACTTAGAAGCCCGTTTTTTTTGTCACAAGATTATGGATGTGATGACTTTGCAAGTTACATTATTATTCACGGAGCTGGGACAGCTCAGAAGCAGGTGCTTGTTTGTGATTTGGTCTTCTATAGTGATTGCTGAAAGGTACTGTATCAACACAGTACTGGTGAAAACAGTCTGTAGATTGCAAGGCTGCCAAATTGTAAGATCTTCAGGTCCAGCTTAAATAATTGAGTTTCCTGGAGGTGCTGGTAGGCAGTCAGAGATGATGTGATCCTGATGTTCTCTGTAAACTAGTTGAGCCACAGGGGGGCAAGAGTGGAGAAACAGAGGTTGTTGGAGGGGAATAAGCATGGGTTAAGGTGCAACCAGCCAGTCAACAGAAATTGAATGAAGAGGATGAAAAGAGGGGTGGGTGTGTGAGAGATTAGAGACTGGAGACAGGAGGGAGTGGAGTGATATAGAAAATATTAAGCAATGCCATGAATTTCTGACGTGAATGCAAACAGGAAAAAGCAGCCAGTGAAGAGTCTACACACGGCGCACGTGAAGCAAAGAAATATGATGTGAGAAGTAGGGTTTTGGATGCATTGAAGAGGACTGTGTGCAGATGCAGGGAGCCGCAGCAGTCTGGGCTGGGAAACAAATTGCTCCTATCAGAGTAGCTGAGGAGAACAGGTCAGGAAAGAGCAGGGTCTGTAGATATTCATTAGAAAGAAAAGGCAAGAGCATGCCAGGGAAGAGAGAAGGATTGAGAGACGTTCTTCTTCTGGTGTCCTCTGCAAAAGTAGAGGAGGAGCAATGAGAGATTGTTAAAGACACAATGGGAATGAAGAGAGAGAGATTGCTGGAAAAGAAGGAGGGGAAAGCAATGTAGTCTAAGCTGGATATAGTAAAGGAGATGGTGGTGAGATGTGGTACAGTATGAAGATGTTCTAGGAAGGGAATGAGGAACAATAAACATGACTTATTGCATAATTGTAATGGAGGCCAAAATGCAAAAAGGTTTTTTTCTGTGACTGTGAAAGAACAGTAAAGGAAGGAGAAAAATTAATGTCACATTAATTTTTCATTCAGGTATATACCAAGGAATACGTTAACAACACACCACAGGCTGGGCAAGAGCAAAGCTGTGTATTAAATAGTTTTAACATAAAAGAGGCAGAAGTGTCACAGGAATTAGAAACATTTAAGACAGACAAATCTCTAGTTTCTGATATTATTCTACCAATTGTACTAAAGGAAACAAGATCTCACTTTTATACAAATAGGAGCCATAAATAGGACTGTATCAAGTAATGTAATATAATAATGTTTCTTTATTAGCCCTATACAATTTCTTGCATTAGGAATTTGTCTTTTTGCATACCCCAGCTTTTCTCCATGGAGACACAGACACGGAGACAAGCTTGGGGTCAGAGCACAGGGTCAGCCATTGTATGGCACCCCTGGAGCAGTTGGGGTTAAGGGCCTTGCTCAGGGGCCCAACAGAGTAGGATTCCTCTGCCAGCCACAGGATTTGAACCGGCAACCTTCCAGTCACAGACACAGATCCTGAGCCACAGAGCCACCACTCCACCCTTCTTTTTTTTGTAGATGGGAGATTTTTTAAAGTAATAGACCAATGACTTTTATTACTATAAACATGTACATTTTTAAACAATGATCAGAACAAAAGAAAAAAGATATAAAAAATAAAATATGTTCAACATGAATTTGAAAAAATGGGTCTTGTTTAACTAACCTATTAGAGTTCTATGAACATGCAGCAGCAGTGATAGATACAGAGCGTATTTCTTGAAGGAGCCGATAAAGTCATGTCATGTCATTTGCCAAACCATTTTATACCATGTGGTGTCATGGGAAAAGTCAGAGTCTACCCGGCAAGCAACAAAGCAGGGTGCACCCTAGATGGGGCGCCAGCCCATCGCAGGGCCAGTGCAAGCCAATTATACATGTGGACAATTTGGAGGCCACGGTAAAGGACAAGGGGGGAAATTTGGGCCAGACACCAGGATAACTCCCTACTCGTATTGAGAAATACCCAGGGGTCTTTAATGACCACTGAGAGTCAGGACCTCAATTTAACATCTCATCCGAAAGATGGCACCCACTACAGTATAGTGTCCCTTCCACTATACCGGGGCATTAGGACCCACACAGACCGCAGGATGGGCGCCCCCTGCTGGTCCCACTAACACCACTTCCAGCAGCAACCATAGCTTCCCAGGAGGTCTATCCCATCCAGGTACTGACCAGGCTTACACCTGTTGAGCTTCAGTGGGTAGCCAGTTGAGAGCTGCAGGGTGATATAGCTACTGGCAAGCAGTTGATAAAGTTCCTCATAAAAATAATTGCAGGTATTAAATGCATGTCCTTAGATCACAATCTTGTTAATCATTAGAAATAAGAGTGCAGATCAGGGTGAATGTGCAATTTGGGTGGTGTAAAAAACAGAGCAACCCTGGTATCTGTATTAGGGCCACTGCTCTTAATTTATATCTGTGATTTTGATTCTGAAACAGTTAGCAGAGTAAAGTTTGTTCACAAAGAACACCAAAATAGAATGATTAATAAACACTGTAGAAACTGCAGAAGAAGTTCAAAAAGACAAAATTCAAGATTGGGAACAATGCAAATGCATTAAATGTAGGCAAGTGCTGAGTTTTCTGTGCAGGCAATAGAAAGGTAATTTATAAAAAGATTTTGGAAAACATTGAACTTGGACAAGTTCCCGATATGAAAAAAGATAAAAAGACGATATAAAAAGAATCTGTGTTGACACATTTATTACAACTTCTTGACAACGTGGAAAAGCAATAAAAAAGAAAACAGACCATATAGGCTACATCTAAAAAAGAAATGTTATGCAAAAATGCTAAAATGTTCTAGTAAGGCTTCTTTCAGAACATGGTGTGCAATTTTGGTCACACAATTACAAAAATATATATCTTTGCTTTGGAATCAATGCAGTAAAGATAAACGACATACATTACTGTATATGCTTGATGACATTTTACAATTAGATAAAATAACTGCTGCTAAGTTTGACAGTAAAAAATTACACTTGCACAAAAAATGTAACTTTCTATCTATTGTAACTTTGGTCAGCTTACTCGTGATAAAAAAATGATAAAAAACAACAAATTGATTAATAAATAAATCTTGAACTCTGGGTAAATGTCATTGTATGTTTCCAAGAAATGATTATGCTGCTTTTACTTTTAATGAAAATGGAAAGTTAAAGGAATAGATAAGGTAATAATTTAATGCTTATAACTTAAGTCTAACACATTTTATATAATGTTATATAAAAAATCAAACAAAATGCTTGTATATCCGTGTTATGTTTTCACCCAAGATTGATCTGAAATCAATTCAGGTGTGAAATTAATGTTCAGACTTTAAATTGAAAATTCCAAGTTTCATCTCTTTGGCAATACTTCATGCAACAAAGCAAAAAGGAAATTCTACTATAGTTTTGAAAAATACTTAGACAAAGTATACACCTTAAAAAGTATTACTGCATGCTGTGCTTGTCACAACATTGCATTTTATATATTAAATAAATGTTTAACATTCTCTCAAAATTCTTACCTCGTTAAAAACATGAAGTGTTTCTTATCTGTTGAGAAGTTTGGAATTTTACAGTTCAGATTATCTGGTGTCTGTTGTAGGGTAAAAATCTTGCTCAACCTGAAGAAACGCATGAATCTGAAACTCTCATAAAAAAAGGAAGTGTTAATTATGTACTACAATGTAATGGAAGAACCCGTGGCAGGTAGATCATTTACAAGTGACAGAGTCAATTATAAAAGTGTGATCTCTTGATGAACCAGTCATTTTATAACTGATTATAAAAGAACTACTCTATTAGATACATCTAAAGGTTATTGCAGAATGCTTGAATCCAAAGCAATTCTATTCAAACTAATTACAAATGAAAATGGGATATGTTCACTGTTATACAGTTCGATTAAGGTACCATTTTAAGCAAACCAGGTGGTATTTATAGATTGTATAAATAGTAAAAGAAATCGAAGAGTTTGATTTTTCCCTTCTTCTTAAGCGTCATCGCTACAATGTTTTTTTAATTCAAGAACTTTAAATTATGTTTTGAATTTTAAAAATTGTATGTAAAAACGTTTTTTTTTGTGTGGTCAATACATGAGAGATCAGGATACTCTTCTGCCCACAGAAGTCAATGGATATTTGTCGAATAATCCTCAAGCCGAATTTGCAGTTTCCCCAAAACTGAGGGAGACTACACATTTGACAAGTACTTTGCTCAATCCATTTTTCCTTCAGTCTTAAGAAACTTTCCAGTCCCTGCTGAGGAGAAACAACCCCATCACCCCACTGTGGTGTTGCCACCACCATGCTTGACTGTATGGTATGGGACATTGGGAGACAGTGGAAATTGGACATAGTGAGATGTACTGTGTTGAGTCTATGCCAAACATGACATTTCCCATCTAGACCACAATGTACAAATTTGGTCTTATCTAACTGCTTTTTGCAACATTATTGTAGGATTGCCCTGGTGCTTTGTTGCAAACTCCGTGTGAGATCTGAAATGACTTGTCCGCTCTACAATACAGGCCAGGTTTGACTGATGCACATTTCCTCCCACCTTAGCCATTAAACTCTGTAGCTCTTTTTATAGTTGTCGTTAGCCTCACAGAGGCCTCCCACAACAGTTTACTCCTTCCCTGGTGCTCAGTTTGCAGCACAGTAGAGTGTGCTAATAGGGATATTTTGTGAGATTTTTATACTCTCCTGATCTGTACTTTTCAATTACTTTATCCCTGACTTGCAGGGAACCTCACGGAGAAAAGTGTTAAGGGTTTATTCTGAGCTAATTCTCAACTATTTGTGTGGCTCATTAAGGTCATTTTGTGCATCTAAATTAATGGAGGTTTGCCACAGAAAGGGGTCTGAATAATTCTATAATCATGATTTACTTCTTTCTTTCTGTTTTCTGCTTTATGTAATGTGTGGAGTAGGTTGTGTATACTGCATAACAAAGTGCCATGACTGCAAGCTTTGAAATAACATTTGAGAACTGTATAAGGGACTGAATACTTTCTCAAGGCCCATGTAGGTAGACTCCTACAAATTAACATTGAGACCTTAAGAAGAAACATGGTTTCAACTAAATTGTTCATCTGTATGGTCAAACCCAGTCTTCATGCTGCTGCGCTACAGTATGTCTTGAAATATGAAATACTGTATGAAATCCATTTCCACCTTTCCTTGAAAGCAAGATGTGGAAGCTAACAGCCTATTGCATGTAGCATGCAACACAGGAATGAAGCAGTTCTGGAAAACATTCCTGCCTTAAAGTGACAGTGACAGTCAGCTGGGGAGGGCCAAAAATTGCATAACGTAAAAATACAGTACAGTACCTTGGCAAAATATTTCAGACAGCACCATCTGTACATTTTAATACAGCATTGAAATGTTATGATATTTTTTGTTGTTTTTGAAAGTGGGTTGAATATATTTGATGGTGCAGTGGTTAGTATTGTTGCCTTGCAGTGCTGGGGCCTGGGTTCAGTTCTTGGGGTGCTAGCTGAGTTAAAGTTGGTGCCCTGGTTTCCTCCTGCAGTCCAAAAAGCATGCTGGGAGGGAAACTTCTAGGTGAAATTGGCCCTGGAAACATTGGTACTGGTTTGAGAGTGTGTACCCTGCAATGGACTGGTGTCCAGTCCAAGGTGTAAATTAGCTAAAATGGTTAAAAGATGGGTGAATGATTAAAAAAAAAATCTTTTTTTCAGCATGGAATAAACCTATTACTTGTTCCTTTAAGTCTTAACATAGCTCACGATGGAGACAGGACAAACAGGGAATACAGTATACAGGTTCCCTCTTTGTTCTTTCTTTTTAAATTGAATTAAAATAAACTTTGTGCTTCCCTCTGAAAACCCAAAGGAGCTCCTTCTTTGGTAATAAACTTATCTAGTTATTAACAGTTATCTGGCACTGTAATTATATCATAGGTTAATGGGAAAAAGAGATAAAGTTATCTTGCAGCGCTAATATGGCAAAGGTGTAACCATGTTACACAACATAACATTATGGCAAGAAACATCAACCAATGAGCTAAGGATCATTCCAAAATACATAGTGTATATGCAAAACTCAAAGGACTTTCACTCTACCATAAGCTGACAGCAAGCAGAACAGCAACATGGTAAGCTTTTTGGTCATCTATTGAGTGTACTGGAATCTATTGATAAAGAACAATGAAAAAATACCTATTGTTATTTTAATAATATACTACAGAAAAAAGACAATTTTACCTTTGTTTAATAAACAAAATGAAATATGCATATCTGTCTTTAACTTATTGTTACTGAGCATTTTAATTATTTCAATAGTAACACTTCTCTTATGTAACTTTCCTCTTATTAAATATACTGGTGGGAAGTGTGTTTATGATAGGATAAATACAATAACAGCAACAGCAGTTTACACACTTGCATGTTCTTTCAGACAGACTTTAGCATAGTTTGAGTCAACATGTCTTTAAATCTGAAATATTTTCCTAATCCTTCCCCAAAACAATGATTCAGTAGCACTGAAAGACCATTGTACTATATGATGTTGCTTCACATATATACTGTATTTACGTTTATTAATGAGGCATACCTGACTTGAGTTACGCTGCTTTTTGTATCAGAAAGGAACTTCAAAGATACTTTGAAGAGCAACCGATATTAGAAATGCAAGGTCTTTGAATAATTTAAGGCTTAAGAGCTTTTCAAATTAAATGAAAAAGAAGATTTAGTGTATCAAGTGAAGTACATTTCTTGATAAGGAAAGAAAAATGGGTATGGAGAAAATATAGTTTTTAAGAAATAAATGCAATTTCCCTAGAAAAGCAAAAAAATTAAGACAACTGCATATGGTTGATAATTTGAGAATTTGGACCTGTGATTTAAGGAACAGCTTACTATTAGATGAGTACCCTGGAGACTGGCTCTGTCATACAGTGAACTTGCAACAACAAGGGGCACCGCTACTGCACCTTATCCCATTCTCTTGGAAGAAACTGTGAATCGTTCACTATATTGCGGACCTGAATAGACTGCAAAGAGAAAGAACTGATGAAGGGGGTTTGAAGCTGAAGAAATGTTTCCTTGCAGATTCTTGAAACCAGAAGTGAAGCGTGCAAGAAGTAGTCAAAAACAATGCTATACCTTTCAGAGTTTGGAGAAGATTCTGAAAAAAATAAACTATTAAACTATGTGTTCATGATTTTCTGTAAATACCCAGGAAGATCTGATTAACATTTTACTTTTTTCATAGAGTGTTTTCTATTTTTTAGATAGAGTGTCATATTTCAACTAAAAAATAGAACTTCTCTTCCCTACATTTTACTATACATTTTCCATCAATTTGATATGTGTTTAAAATACTTGATCAAGGCTGCGGTTTTCATAGATTGTCTTCATGCATATACAGTACAGTATATAAATAATTTAATTTTATCTCTACACGGAGATGAAGACTATATATTTAAATGTAGTAATTGGGAAACATATGTAAACAAGTAAGGTTTGTACATTTATTTTCCAGAAAATGAAGAAAAAATTTTCAGGCTTGGAAGTTACACTGATTGTGCTGTTTCTGCTGGTCACAGTTGTGGCTCTTGCTCTTGTTATTCTTCTGGCCACTGGTGAACCAGCACTTATTAAGAACGGTAAGAAACAATAAGGTTTTCCTTGCCCAGTTTTACAGCTTTTCGATAAATTGTTTGAAATGGAAGAACTTCTGTATAAGAATGATTTTAGGAATAAAGACTTTGATTTTTCTTTAGGTAATGACAGCCTTTTTTTGGCTTATGTGTGGCGGAATTATAATTAAGCATTAAATAGCATTTATTAGGTTTATTCCATGCTGAAAAAAAAGAAGAAAGAGAACACAACATTTCGGCCGTGGAGCCTTCTTCAGGTGTCACCTTCTTCTTTTTTCAGCATGGAATAAACCTAATTTAGATATTTAGGTGCCAAAATTAGATTCATGTTTTTGCAAACTGGTATGTTATTAATCCTAAATGAGGTGCACCATTAAAGAGCCTTCCAGATTTCCCTTGACCTGAAACTAAACTTAAACATCTTTCATTAAATATATAGTGATTTATTTATTTATTTAAATATTTATTTATTTGGATCATTTGTTTTTGCAGAAACTAACAACACACAACTGAACTTCACCCCAGAGTGTCCCAGTATTGCGCTATCAGAACGGATTGACTGTTTTTCGGATGGAGGAGTTTCAAAGGTTCGTTCTACATCTCCTGCTGGAGAAAATTAATTGCTGAGATATGCAGATATGTTTGCATTCTGCAAAAACAATTGGAAAATCCATTTAAGACAGTTTTCCCATTTTGGATCTTTGACATGTAGTTTGGTTTAAATTTGAATTTAATAGTCCTGTTTGCATCCTGTGTTTCTGGGGAAAACTCTATGTTGCCACAATGTTTATCCAGATTAAGCAGCTCTCTAAAAATGGTTAGCTGATTTTGTAGGGCAGAAGGTTCTTCCCTTAATGAAGCTTGAATTTGATGGGGAATCGTCTGAGGATATCAAATACTGTGTTGAAAATGCTGTCATGATATTGAATTTCGTAACCATATTCTCTTCTTTGGTTCTTGGATGTTGGCAGGATAAGTGTTCTGCACGTGGATGCTGTTGGCAGCCCTTGAATGAAACGTATGTGCCTTGGTGTTTCTTCCCCACAAATCATGGCTATGAAGTTGTGGATGGTCAGACTCCTGATCAGAAAGGTGAATCCTTTTAGGCTACGTAGTATCTGATTATGTTGCATAGACTCATACATGTCAAACCACTGTCAAAAAGGTAGAGTAATAGTGTATGGCACCTAGCTTCCTTGTGGAATGGACAATTTAAAGCCAGTCAGACTACTTACAGTACTACACTTTTGATAGACAGGGGGAACCCTATCAATCATAAACCAATGCCAGCATGAGATACCACACAAATTACTCACACATAGAAGCCCATGGCAGGAACCTCCGGAGCTGTGCGCAGGGTTATCAAGTTTCCGTTGACCAATAAACGGAAGTCAATTTGAAAACATGCAAAACCGGGATTACAGCAATTCCAGATCTTGAAAAAACAACAAACAACGCCAGCATATACTAACTGTGGGTTCGAAACATTAAGAAGTGATTCCAACAGAAACAGTTCTGTGGAATGCAAGCAGAATGTGCAACCCTGGAACTGAAGCAGGGATGGTTTCTACTAATTCACCATGCTGTCCCTTGATATGCTCTAGTTCTATTGAGCACTCTGAGCTCCCAGGGGACTTAGGATCCTACATGAGACCAGATGACTAACATCCCATAAAGGGGAAAGCATCCAGCTCTCAGAAGGATTGACTGGAGTGGGATGGCAGGGTTCCCTTTTGGATTGGGTTTCCTTGCTCATCCAAGGACACCCAAGTGCATGTTGTAAATTGCAACTTTTGTCTTTTTAAGGATTCACAGTGAAACTCAAGAGACAACCTGCCCCATCACTTTTTGGAAATGATATAGAGAATGCCAATTTCTTTGCAGAGATGCAGACACAGAACCGCTTTCGATTTAAGGTTTGTGCATGTTACATTGAAGAGTCCTTTTGCTCGGGTTCGGATATGGCCGTAGCTGTTGGTTTGATTTTCAATTAGTTTTGATTGTGTTTGAAATGGGCAGGATATTAACTTCATTGCGATTTAGGTTTTTAAAGTAATGGGATATGTCTCCAAGGAATTAAATAAAAGATAAAACTGCATTTTTAACTGGATATTTTCCAGTTAGACAAAACGAGACTTCCCAACTATTACCTGGCTCCTGTGTGATTTTTTTAAACATTTCATGTTTTTAAAATTTTTCTTGTGAGTTTTACATTTAGTATTTACATTGCTATTATAGATAACTGACTCCAACAAGGAAAGATTTGAAGTTCCACACGAGCATGTAAAACAATTTAATGGTCCACCAGCCTCCAACCCCAATTATGAGCTGGAGCTCGTGAATAACCCCTTTGGATTTAAACTTTTAAGAGCGTCTTCCAGAAAAGTTCTGTAAGTAAGAGCGAATGTCTCTCTCCTCTTTGTATTTTCTCCTTTCTTATGTGTCTTGGTGGATTTGTTTGATTGGTTGGCTGGGCTTAAGTAAAAGGCTGACATTTGTCTGTAAATATTGCTCTTATTGCTGTACAAAGGGACTCCCAAGAGGACCTGATTCTTCCTTTGAGAATTGATCTTGAAGAAATGGCATCCATCAGCACTGCAAAGAAATATAATTGAACTAGCTAGAGAGGAAAAATAAAACAAATGGCTTCTCGGATGAGAGTGGTAGTCTTGTGAGTAGTTAAGAGTTAGAGGATCAAAGTGTTATACTGTATAACACTTTATATTGTTACTTCGAAACATTAATAATCGATGACCAAGAGTTTCTATTGTGCCTGTTTGCTGTGCCTTTGAGAAAAGTTACAGTAAATGCCAAATACCCTGACATTCTTGAGAAATGAGTTGTTCACTAATGAGCTGACCTGTCATGGTCAGGTAATATTAGAAATTATTATGATTCTGCTGGGTTACAAAAATAAAGAGATAAAACTTGTTACTTCATTTAAGAATGTACAGTACATTTTATACACTTTATTAAGTAACACTAATACAGAATCGAAAGATTTATTTTGCTTTGACAAGAAAAATGAGCAGGGAAAATGCATATACTGTGTGACCAGCAATAGGTCAGTCATTGTATTAGCACTGGGAGATCCAGAAGTTGGCAGTGGGTTTCTACTCTGACCAGCATGTACAGTATATGGATAACTCAGTAGAGGCGATCAAGAAATCAAACTCTGGAGTCATTTGAAAGAGAATTTGACACTACAAGAGCTCTCTGTAGTTTTGTCTGGACTAATACCAAAAATCAACCAGGACCTGATGGATTGTTTTGCAAACATGTCATAACATATGTGAATACATTAAAATCACAAAAATGGCAGGTACTGTATTTAAAACTGAAACAATGAGATTTGGTAAGGACTTGTGCCATTAATACAAACAAAGCAACACTGGTAGAGATGTGCAATTGAAGACAGGCATCTAAAGGACTAGAGAATTTCAAGGGCTACAAAATAACTGTGTCAATTTGTAGGTTCATAGACTGTTGTTTCCAACAATAAAATGTTGTCAAGTAGGTAGTAGGCTGGTTGAAATAAGAATGCCTTCAAATTAACACTGATAATTTTATACTGAATCCTAAAATACACTCCTATACAATAATGATATATATTTTCCATATCCATGTCTATCAATTTCAACAAGTGGTGTAAATACCAATAGGGTTATATTATCAGAGGAAGCAAAAATGCTCATGAGAATGCACTCTCACACACGCTAGTTAAAACACAATAAAACATTTATTACTGCAGTCCCCCCTGCTCAACGGCTTGGATTAAAGATAATTTAAGAGTTGTAGTCTATAGTGTAACTGAGTTCAAAGCCCACGTTATCAAACAAATATGAGATTTATTTTAAAAATATTACACTCTTAACGATAACAATTCAACCATCCTATTACCTGATAAGTGCTAATGCATTTATAGAAAACTAACATTTTGTAATAGGTCACAAGGTTTTACAGATAATTTACTGCACATTAAATAGTTATCTTTATGACATTTCATGTATTTGGAATGTAATTATCAAATGATCTTGTACTTTGATGCTGCATGCTTCAAAGCAAAGATGATGCATGCCTGTGTTCAGACTTCAATCAGATGTTTTAAGCAAGTAATTTACTTAGATGTTCTAGGACTGAGTGTAAAAAATTAAATAGCCCACATTTATTGGATAGGTTCCAAATTGTCCCCTTTTTCAGTAATGTATGTTATTTGTCTGCTAAAAGTGTTGGCCAAATACAAAAAATATATATGTATTGTTACAAATGGGGGGTTACGAAAATGGCAATAATCAGTAACTGACAGAGCGGTTTAATCAATAAGTGAAATAAATATTCATAACCCAACTTGTAAGTGAATTCTCAATAATATACCCAAGCAGTTGGTATAATTATAGGCATGTGAATTCTTTGTTCTCTGGCATAGCCTTGATGAAAAAAGTAATAAACCAGGCACACTTGATTAAACAAATATTTATTAATGATGACAATACAAACTACACTACATACAACAAAACATACAACACACAAATTACTATATTAATCAGAGGCCTAACATCTTAATCACCCAGAAAACCAGGACTTCTACTAAGTATTAAACTCTTTATGCCTACAGAGGCCAAATAAGAGATAAGCTGCCTTTCTAAGTACAGTAAATGCAATACAACCTGCAGTTAAATCTCTCTGTCTGCACCCCGGATGCCACAAAATAAATGCAAGCCTATCTCCCTATTCTAAAAATGCACTCTAAGCAGGAAAGATATCTTTAACTGAAGTATCTTTTACCCAGGAAACCCAAGTTTCCTTAAAACACAGAATAGCAAGGTCTCGCTAGCAAGGTTCAAATACTTAGCTCCAGTCAGGTTTTGTTCTTTTTTTTCTTGTTGTTTTGTCATGTGGTGGTATTGTGCTCTTATAAGGTGTGTTTCTGTACTGCTCATTGACAACCATTAACCCATGACTTAATTACCTAGGTAATTAACAAGGTAATCAAGGTACCAAGGTAAACCTTGTCTTTGATGGGGGAACCCCCACATCTCAGCAAACATCCCTTTATTTGGATTAAAACTCTAAGAGATCCTTCCTAGTCACATAAAGCTGGAACAGTATAAACATAATATTTTTAATAGGAAATATTTGCAAACTTTTGGACTTTTCTGCAACCCCATTATTGTGTTTGCCAGGCTCTGTTTTATAAACAATAAAGCCAGTTTACACAGACGTGAGGTACAAGCTTGAAAAAACACTCTTTGCAATGTTAATATTCTTACTGTTTCTTTTCAATTACTATTAAAACTTCACATGGACAGAAAAGTGTTTTCTCCATCAGAAGTGTATAGGAATATGTATGGACAAAGATAAAGTCTCCTGCTACTGGTCTGTTCTACTCATCTCAGATACCTCAACTGGCTTCTCTTCACAGGTTTGATACAACAATTGGTCCTGTTGTGTTTGCTGATCAGTATTTACAGTTGTCTGCACGACTGCCCTCTCATACTATTTATGGTCTGGGAGAGCACATTCACCAGCATTTTCTTCATGATACTAACTGGAGAACATGGCCCATTTTTACAAGGGATGCCTTTCCCAATGGGGTAATATTCAGTTTCTTCTTTATTGATACAGTTGTGCTCTGTGTCTCACTTAATTTCCCAAATGAGACAGACAGAACACCTTGTCCCAGTGTTGCAAACAACTCAAACATACAATTCAATGTTACACTAACATTAGATACCATATATGCAAAGATGTACTGTAAGTCTCCTCCAACAGTTTAAACAACACACTCATGCATTAACATTAATTTGCACTACTGTATATCTACAGTGTTGGCTTGTTGAATGGAAAAAAAAGTGTTAAAAAAATTGTCCCTCCCCTTAACAATAAGTTGACAGTCAATGTTAAAAATCTAGCCCCTTAATTCAGATATGAGAGAAAGCCAAAATCTTATTGAACATGAAAGCATCAAAAGTGTATTCATACCATAGCTCTATCATGTTTTGCTATCCAAATTAAAAATAAAAATAAAAGATCTGACCTAGCAGAGGTTTCAGTAGTTCAGCCAAAACCTAATGTGACAACGAAGTGGAATGTATTGAAAGTTTGAAAATTTGTGAAGATGAGACTGACAGAACCCAGCCCCGCCTCCCCTCCACGAGGAATGAGCAAGGGAGCTGCTGCAAGGGTGAATCTGGGGTGAAAACAGGGATATGAGAAAGAGGCTCAAAGGAGGTGCAAGGCAGCGAGATATTTATGTGTGGGAGCGTGGAAGTTGCCAAGATTAGGAATTTGATCTCCACCCACATTTCTTTTAAAAACACGTTCTAAAGTTCTAAAACATTTGAAGCAAATGCATTACTAGTTCTACCGTCTGTTATACATCATTCAAGTGATTATGTGTCATTCATTTTTCAATTCTTTGAAATTATGTCTTGTTGTAGTATTAGCGACACCACTCAAATGACACCACATAAAGAGCCAGATATGATATTAAGAACATTGCCATGAGATAATATGTGCTAATATCCACAGAGAAATGTGTTTGTGTTTAGCTAAATAATGCTAGTAATAATACATTAGTTGAAAACAGTGCAGATTTCTTTTAAACATTTTCAGTTCATCTTTATTTAATACTGCATAGTGCACACAATGCTTTAGATTGTATGTAATTTCGCAAAAGTAAAATGACAGTGTTTTAAGGTGACCTACTGTATAATTTCAGGGAACACACAACCTATATGGGCACTATACCTTTTTCTTGTGCCTGGAAGATGAAACTGGGCAGTCCTTTGGTGTTTTCCTAATGAACAGCAATGCTATGGGTAAACATTTCCAGTCTGTGTATAATATTTTTCAGAATATTTCTTGTTCAAATTCTTTTTTTAGTTCGTATCATGTACTAAACTATTTTATACCACATGTAAATTTAAGAAAATATTGAGACACTTCTAATTTTGGATTGATACTGAAGGTATAGTTTAAACTATGTATAGAGAGTAATTTACATATGAAAAATCAGTTTAAGACCAGCACTTTCCATACAGTAAATAAGATGAATTAATTCTGAGGGTTCACGTATGTCTTTTTTTGTTTTATACAGTAGCATTCCTATTGTTCCCATTATTTACCTAAATGGTTCATGGATTAATATGATAAGTAATTGTTTGGAAGTTCATATTGCAGTGCACTTTATTAAACTCTTAGAAAATTTCAAACTTTAGAGAGTAAAATATTTTATTTGTTTTAACAGAGGTTACTCTTCAACCTGCACCAGCTGTAACCTACAGGACAATTGGAGGTGTCCTAGACTTTTATATTTTCCTTGGAGATTCTCCAGAGGAAGTTGTCCGGGAATTTTTGGAGGTGAGAAATTTGCTTTCCTTAAAATAGTCGACAAGACGTACAGTACAGTATATATTGAATCTCCATCATAATGTATCAAAGGTAGAAACCATTCATTCAGAAACTTTTTCTCGGTACCCGACAGTGGTGATTTCTAACTTTGAGTCGATGGGAAGAGGATTAAGATCGGGGACTTTGGCCAAAACTTTATTGTCCTTTCTGTGTTTTGTTCAGCTCATCGGAAGACCAGTGTTGCTGCCCTACTGGTCCCTGGGTTTCCAGCTGTCACGCTGGGATTACGGAAGCCTAGAGGAAGTTAAGGCTACAGTGGACAGAAACAGAGCGATTGGACTTCCATATGTAAGTTTCAATCAAACCCTTAATTATTTCTTGTGTTGCTTTGCCTGGATGTAAACGATGTAGAAAACTAAATAGATTTGTATGTGGGGTATGAGAGGTAGTCTGGGGTTTGTGTAATGCATAAAACCATGACACCATTTTCATTCTAATATGGCTCTCCTACAAAATTTCAGTGATAATAATCAGTTATAAATAGGGTAGCATCTGAGTGATTTGATATTTGCTACTTAAACACAGAACCCTATAAATGAAATGTCCAATCAGGTGCCAAACCTAAGAATGTCTATAGCAGAGCATTTCAGTTATTGTTATAATTTATTATTACCTCTATGCAATCTTTGTATGTCTTAAAACAGCCATCTAAAATAGCTTCTGTATGTTTTAGCTAAATATAAACTAAATACAGGTATATACCTATATTTAGGGTGATGTAGCCAGCAGCTACAGTATATCACCCCACAACTCACAGCTGACAACCCACTGAAGCCAAGCAGGTGTGAGTCTGACCTTATATACAACTAATACAATGATTGTATATACAACAAAACCATTTAAGTAACCTTCTGTATTAAGATCTCACCAGAAGAAAAAAAAAGTATCATTAAACATAGTATGTCGATATTTAAATGTGAATACCGATTAAATATGAAGGAAAACATAATTAAGCTCCCTAATAAATGACTGATTAACATTATCTGGGAACTGGCAGGAGACATTACCATCTGGTAAATAACACTGTATTGGGAAGTCAATTAATGCAGATGAGAATGTGAATGTCCTTAGAATACTAGTATCATGGTAAAAAGGGAGAAAAAATCAATGTCACAAATGTTTACATAATTAGACAACTTTTATAAAAGACGTGCATGGAATTATTAAATAAAATAATGCATTAATATTTAACATTTCATAAGTGTTCTGCTTTGTATCCATATTTTTGTAGGAGATCCAATTCACTGACATTGACTACATGGAAAACAAGAAAATCTTTACATATGACCAAGAGAAATTCCGGGATCTACCTCAGTTTGCTGCTTATTTACATCAGGCTGGACAAAAATATGTACCTATATTAGTAAGTTTTTCTATATGGAATAAGAAAAATTACCCACTGTTTATGCCATTTTTTTTACCTTCTTTTTCATTTTGTTCACCTTCAACATTTTCTTCCACCGTGTTCAATGCTGAATCTCTGAAATAAATGGCTCTAATGGAAGAAAACTAACAAAGCAGGTCAAACACCAGGACATTCTAATGCTTCTTATTTTCTTCAGGATCCAGCTGTAGCCACCAGTCCCAGAATCAGTGGACCTTACCACAGTTATGAAAATGGGAATAAAATGAATGCATGGGTTACTCTGGCTGATGGAAGAACCCCGCTTGTTGGAGAGGTAACACGTAACACAATCTACAAGTGTGGAGAGACAAAGGTTTCAGCTACCCCTAAAAAAGTAAAGGCGGTACTATCATTTATTATCCCCCTACTGCTCAGGACTTAGCTTCATTTTAAGAGTTTGATAAAATCGTGTTTACATCATGGCACTGCTCCAAAATACACTGATAGACCGATAGAAATACACTTTGTATTTGCAGTATCTGGGAACACAAAGCTTTCACTTGCAGTAAGTACAAGCTGCAAAAAAAAATACAATATTGCTTTCCTGTATGTATAGTACAATATATTGCAATTATAATATTTTTTTATAAGTTCAGCTGCCCTAGGGAATTGAAATTTTATTAAAGAGTAAAGAGAGCCTAGGAGTGAAATATTTAAAACACATTTCTGATTTTCCTTGGTACTTTACCAAGGTTTTCTTCTTTCTTACTTCTTGAGATAAAGCTTCTACCACCATGCTAGTTCTGCCCTTTACTTACAACTACAGCAGTACTCTTACAACACAAAGAAGAGGCGACACGTCACATAAATCTTTTTACAGTGATCATTCACAAGGTCTTATAGGAAGTTCAGATGCTGTTTTTTTTATTTGTGAGATAAGGGGCAAAAATGTCAGTAAGGTAGCGATATAGAAATTCTATATGCAAATGTAATGACCATACAAAACAATAATCCTAAGGTTCTGTAAAACAGAACTCTTGTTATTCTGAATAAGTAATCTTGAATAATCATTACATTTAACTATTTAAGTTTGGAAACATTTTAGCACAGTGCTTAACAGTACTGTCTTGCAACACAGGGGCCCAGGGATGATAGCTGTGTGGAGTTTTCATATTCTCCCACGTTTGTGTGGTTTTCTTCCAGGTGCTACAGTTTCCTTCCACAGGCCAATAAAAAAAACATACTGTACTGGTGGGTTAATTGGCTTCTGGGAAAATTAGAACTGCGACAGAGTGGCATTCTGTCCAGGATGTACTCTGCTTTGCTTGTCAAGATAGGCTCAGGGTCCCCTGTGACCCTGAATTGGAAGTAAATACAAAAAGCATTTGCAATGATGATTAGTTTTACATTAAATACATATAGAGAAAATTAAGACATTTATTTTATAAGAGCTGTGTTGGTAGTCACCTGTAACAAAGCTCGCTTGATGGTAGCCAAGTGTGGGAGAAATCTGCCACATTCATGTCTGTTTTAGCCACACTAAGGCAGTGCCCACACAATTTGTTTTCAGTCCATAACTGTGGGCCTAATTAAACCTGTAGTACCTTAGAGCTGAGTAGCAGTGGAATAACCTGCCCTGGTTGAATCTGTTTCGGCTGGTCCACTTTATAACCACCGTCTTACTTACCAGCAGGCAGACCAAGGCTTTTACTCTGTGAGCTTTCCTGCTCTTGATAAACATATATGCTTAGGAGTCTCCCTGCTCCGGGGTAGTTTACTCTTAACCTTGGGAGATTTCGTGACTAACCATGTCTCACTAAGACACTAGAGACTGATTTTGCCCTGAAGCTTTTATCTGAGCGGACACGATCCGAGGTCTCATTCCAAGATGGTCTTTTGCTCAGACATCCCTGTTCTCTTCCCCTAGAACAGGCTGCCTGTAGCAATGCTTAGTCCCCTCCGGCATTGCTCCTGGATCCCACCCCTTCCAGTGTTAGATGGTATCTCAGCACCTTGCTGTCCTCCTGACAGGGAGGCTATAGTTCTAGTTCCCCATGAGCTGAGCTTTAGAGACTCCCCGCGAGCTCTAATACTCACTGACACTGCCAGTGAGGGGTCAACTCCCCTGAGTGGACGAGGACTGTTTACTCACTAAATCTTATATACAGTAGCAAGACAGGCTTCATGCATGTGACACCAGCTCCCTTGTATGCAGTTTATTAAAGCATTTCTTCATAAATCTGGAGGGACTCTAGCCTTCCTTTGGTGATTTAACCCCTTATTTTACACTCCAGCTCCCTCTGCCCTCTAAAAGCACCACAAGTCCACTTTTCCAACATAACTCAAAGTCACTTCTTATTATTTAAGAAAATAAGATCAAGAAGTATCTATGTGGTAAAACAATACATATTTTTGAAATTGAAGACTTCTGTTGTTATGAAAAAAATCATCAACTGCCATGTGTGAATCTGTGGTAAGCTGGTGTGCCATGTTACTTAATGAGCCCTCCTGTTGTTTGGATCTCACAGTCAATAAGAATAAACATTGGGACAAGACCTATATATTTTATTCCTCTGCAAAAGATAACAAGGTCTTTCATTGCAAAAGCACAGATAAAAGAAAATAGTGTTGTATGAAGGCTGCAGTATTTCAACAACAGAATCTAGCTTCACCTCAAATTATCATATAGATTAGATGGCAAAACAATCTTGCTTTGAGACATTAGGGTTTTGCTTTTTTATTGTTAGTGTTGTTATTATTGATGAATGCCCTTGACACAAAACAGGACATAGTTGTTACAAGGTATTTTACAGCTGGGATAGGGCATTTAGTGTAAGCAAAAACATTAAAAGCATACAATCAATTAACTCTTGAGTGAATGAATAATATAACACAAATTTCTACTGAAAGAGGAGCTACTATCTCATTTACTATCTCAATAACAAGTTTATTTCAACAAGACTTGTTTGAAAAAAGCAGCGCTAGCAACGTTATGAAAATATAAGAGGTGTAAAACACTTTTATGAAGACAGTAGTCACTGCAAATGGATATATGAGGATAACTACAGAACTTTGAGGAAGAGCATTATTTAGCAACGCAAAATTGACATTTACAATATGGGTAATTTTCTTCATTTTGGTTCAGACAAAAACCTTTTCCTAATTGCTCTGTAAGCAATTTGTAAAGTTTAAAGTTATAAAAATGTCATGGAATGGCATGAGTATGAAGAATAGGCAATAAATGCCCTGTTTATTCATTTCGAAATTTTAAGTGGAAACTATTACTCTTTAAAAGGAGTTAAAAAAGCTTTTACCATCCTATTCTGGTAGAAGGATCCAGTTCATCAAAGGTGGTGTCTTTTAGATTTCAATCCATATTATTAGCCTTTCAAACTCTCAGATAACACCATTCTGTTACAGGACTTTTTACTATGCACTGGGATTCTGGAAAACTATAGATTTCTAAAGTGAAATTTCCTATATCAGCTAACAAATAGACCTTTCTATTCTGTCATGCATGAAAGCTTTGATCGTGGACAATAGGTCAAAAATGCAATAACTATATACTGTATGGCTTCCAATGTAATTCCAATCAAAACTCTATAACATATTCTAAAATACCTACAGAGAATGATATAAGGAACAGGAAAATATATTGTATATTGACTGTTTTATAAACATATAAAGAAAAAAATAAAATGTATAAAATACACCTTTATCTTGTGCGTAATTGCAAGGTAAACATAACTGGGTAATAAGAGACATCAGCAAGATTCAAACTGTGATTGTTGTCAATCTTTAGCTAAATTCTCTTGCAATTTTATCTGTATATACATTAACTGAATGTTATTTCATTACCTTCTCTTTACCACAGCCTTTCATACCGAACAAACGTTTAGAATGCTAATCGAGCAATATGGCCAGCTGTCCATGTCTGTATCCTCACCTGACAACACCCCTTGTATTCTTACAGGAGAATGAGAAACCTCTCAATGACTATGTCTCAATGTCTATAGCATTGTCTTGTCGGTGCCTGTCTGTATTCACACTGTAGACCTGGAGAATGATATCTTGCTCCCCTGTATACTTGTATATGGCTGGACTGACAAATAAACTTGAACTTGAACTTGACACACTTATCCATGGCAGGAGCCACCTACTCCATGCCTTCCCTCCCTCCTCTAGTGAAATTCTTTTCCAAGGCAAAGCCGTTTCATGGAACGATGCACACCTCTGATTCATGGCTCCATTATTTTTCAATGTATGCTAACATCAATTCCATTTTCTTTTTGGAGTTTGAAGATATTCACCTAAACTAGGAAGCGACAGTCATACAATTCTGTCTTGTTTCTTTAAAACAAACTGTTGGTGTAAGATGTGAGATGATGCTGAGGAGGTTAAACAAATACACCGTGTAATATAGCTTTTGTTGACCACACTGCATTTTGAGCCTTACCTACTGTATAAAGGTGTTAGTTTTGTTTGACTAACTAGTTCTTAGCTCACAAGGACACCCCTGTATTAAGCTTAGTTGGGTTCTTTTACAAGGTATGTATTAGGCAACTTCTAGCATTCAACAATATATTTTACAGGCATAACATAGTAATACATGGCCATAAGTGAAATGTTCTGAATTGTAACCACTTTGTGTTTTCATAATTCTTTACGTTATCCATTTTTATCTTCCACTGTAATATTTTTTTCTTGTCTGATATTTTCTAGGTCTGGCCTGGAGAAACTGTGTTCCCTGATTACACTAATCCGTCATGCATTCAGTGGTGGGTTGATGAAGTTGAAAGCTTCTACAAACAAGTACCATTTGATGCCCTCTGGATTGTAGGTTTTTTTCCCCTTTTTTCCCTTTCTTGTTAAAGGCATGTACTGTAAATCTCATTGTTTATTATCAGTGAAAAATAAATGTTTTTCAGGACAAAAAATGATCAGGAAAATGCTCATTTGAGTCTTAATTTGAATAAATGCAAAAAGGCAGCTGTGTGAATCTAAACTTGGTTTTAATACAGTTTATCAGTGTTCTATTTGAGGAACATATTTACTGTATGTACTTTAAAAAGATTTCTTAAGTTGTAAAAAACTGATGCTGTTCAAACTGCTTAGTAACAAGAGTCTTATCAGTTTCTTCTACGGAGTCGTATCATTATGGAGTGTTGTAAATACAAGAGAAAAATGCTGATGGTTTTATGATGAGTCACTGATTATCAGGTTTAGAACTCTTTTTACACACACCACCACTCTGCAAGTCAATGATCAAGGTCATGAAACCAACGTGTGATTGTGATTTGAAAGAAAGCCAAAGAATTACAGAGCAAAATGTATGTCATTTTCTGTGATTTGTACTGTGCAGAAATCAGGGATTAGCAAACTTCTCGCTTGCTGCTGAGATCCACCCATTGTGTGGCTCAATCCAACTGCCTTGTTGTGGTATTTCTTCAACCCTCGCTCTCTTTTTAAAGGACATGAATGAGGTGGCAAGCTTCAAGAAAGGTTCAGACAAAGGATGTGCCAACAATAATTTAAATTATCCCCCATTCACTCCAAGTAAGTTTACTTTATAAGCACTTCTATATATTATATGGCTGATAAATTATATGATTAATAAGTGATTTACCTAAATATTATAAACATCTTAGGAATTTTGCATTGTTCTACTCTTTTGACTCAATATGCATAGAAAATTCTATAGTGATCTTCTGTTACAACTGTAACCGTTTTGTTTGATTAATCATGATAGAACTGTAATTTTACAGTACAAAATGGAGCCGTTTAGCTCCATGGATATGTAGACAGCCATGAATGATCAGAAGTACCTAATAATGAAATGAACATAGCAGATTAGCAGCTACAAAATCTCATGTTCACTGCTCATATAGTTTCCCTTGTGCTGTTGTTATCACGTGTCTGAAGATTCTGATTAACCATGACTTGTTAAAAAGGCTGGGCACATACGAGTATAATAAACACAGTGTAACCTGATTTCTATTCTGAATGGACTAATGCAGTGCAAGCAATATATTTCCAGGAGAGAGAATAAAGAACTGAACTTCCCAATCAATTTGTTCAATAGCGTATACACAGAAACATTATACAGAGACATAGAGTATGAAGCATGAATATTAGATATCAGGCTAATAAAGTAAAACATTTTCAAGCAACATTTTTATTCCTGGAAAGAATAAGTCCTTCAAGTGTCTCTAAGATACTTTTTTCATTAGCTATGTATATGTACACATATATATAGTTTATATCAAGAAATTTGGCACTGAAAATGATTTATATAGAAAAATGTTTGTCTTCTGGTCTCTTTAATGTTGTTTAATTTTTTGTTGTTGTTGTTTTGTAGAAATTCTTGATAATCTTATGTACTCCAAGACACTTTGTATGGATTCCAAACATACTTGGGGAAACCATTATGATGTCCACAGCCTATATGGCTACTCAATGGTTTTGGCAACTGAAAAGTAAGACATGTTTTAGAATTATATTCTTTACTTACAAAAGATATTGTAAGATTTTAAAATGAAATACAGCTGCTGCTCATTTTGAAGTATTATGTTGTTTTATCATGAATTTATGAAATTTTACTTCCTAAGCTGTTCAGGGCACAAGCCAGAATCAATATTACAGTCACACCCTCTCAGTGTGCTAAACTTAGCTATGGAGGCTTTACTTGTCATGTTTTTTTCAGTTTTTGTATTTTTGTTGTTGTTTACATTCTCTTTACATCGTATTCCTGATTAATATTTAATTCTAAAAAAGATGATAGCTGCTACTTTTGGTCTAATTAATGCTGCTTCAAATGGTTCTGAAATACTGCTTTTGTGTGTCACAAAAAAACAAACAAATATCAACACAATGTTATTTAAAATTATCTAAAAGTTGAATGTGACTTTTTTGTGTTTTAGATGCTTTCTTGTAAAGTTGTTTTTTTGTAGTGGAGAGGTTTTCATTCATTAATTATTTTAAACATAAGTTATTTCAAAGCAACACTCAGTCTTGTAGAAGGTAAACAGATGATCACCTCTTTCCTGTGCACTGCATAAAGCACAATGAGACACAGCAAAGCACTGTGAAAGCATCTCAAAATCTATTGTTATGGCAAACTTGCATGAAAATCAGAAGAATAGAAAATACATGCTGAGGCTTGAGTAAGGTTCTCTTAAAGTGCAACAGTGTAGTTTCACATGTATCCAAAAAGTAGCACATTATTGTGATGTGAGAGAATGGGTTTTTGAGCAACCAAGTACATAATTAAATCAACAAATTACTCTAAGTACCACCCAAATGGAACACACACAAGACAAGCCCTGCTGTGATACTTTGGGTGAGTATTTGAGCAACAAAAAGCTGCTGAACAGTAGGCCTTCAATTCCATCTGGTCTCAGCGCAGTCTTCTCAGCAAAGCTACACTGTGGCACGGCGAAGCCATCATCCCTCTGCAGCTCCTCCGGTCTGATGCCTGGCAGGAAGTAACGGAAAAATCCCAACAATCTTTTTGATTTTATCAGGGCTCTTAACCGCGTCTTTCCTGGCAACAGAAGTTTCTTGTTTACAAGGTCTGCCTTTGCCGGGGCAGGGAAATATTCAGGGCACTGGCTCGGAGACAATGCTGCCAACTGGAATGACATCAAATGGGCAATTCCAGGGATGCTCGAATTTAATCTTTTTGGATTTCCTTATGTAAGTACTTTTTGCTCCAGTGACCTAAATACATTTTTTTGTATTGTTGGCCTTATTTTGGATCACCACACACACAAAAAATAAACACTTTACAATCAATTTAAAAAACAAAACCAAGGTGGGAGAAAAAGTTCAAAACACCTTTCTTAGGCAGGAGAAGGTGTTACAAAATACTTTTGTTTTACACAGATTACTTTGTGTTTGTACCCTATGCTTATAACATTACATTATTGGAACCTGAAATCATTTCCTTCTGAATGCAGCCTCAATTCCAGCAGGCATCTGAATATTTAGGGTCACCGTCCAAAAAAGGTTTCAGACTGACCTGTCTCTTTGTGCAGTATTTTGTGTTTTACATGAGCAGTTACTTGACAACCATAGAAGCTGTGACACGGATGACGTGAATTGGGCTTCTAAAAATAGTTACTGTACAAATGAAAAGATAGGAAATGAAATAGCCAGAATGTTGTTCTACTGGGGTGGTCTGGAAGGATGGTAGCCATCATTAATTCCTCACAATACAAACTGTAGGTTCAAATTAGGTTAATTCCTGGGAAACCATCTACAGTATATGGAATTTGCATGTTCTCTTTGTGTCCACTTGGGTTTTCTCCAGATTCTTTGACTTTCTTCCACCTCTCAAAGACAAGGTTTTCTCTGAATTAGCGCTGTGTATGGATGTGGCCTGTGATGGACTGATCCTGCAATCAAAGTTTAGTCCTTCCTCATGCCCTGTATTTCAAGGCTAGACTCAAGGTTGCCATCATACCCGGATCAAGCAACTTTCTCCCAGTGGATGGATGGAAAAGCCCGGCTATATTATGTAGTACTGCTCTTTCAGTTCAAGACGTTTAGACTTAAGAACTGAATGTGAAAGTGAGAAAAGCTGTTCTTTCTAACCTTTTAAACAATACACATTAGCTGGGAGAAATGTGGCTGTGTCATCACACCTGTCACATTTGAAGGAAATTTAGGCATATTCTCTTCCGTGACTGTTTGACTCACTCCCTGTTGATTGATTCACTTTGTGGTCTTGTGCAGAAGGAAAGGATTTCATTGTCTCGCACCTGTGCAATTTTTTAACTGCCAAAGTTTATATTTGCCTATTCAACATTATTTTAAAGATGATTTAAGCTGCACTTTTCAGACTTGTATGATCATGTTTTACAACACATTTATCTGCAAAGGTATTTCCCCTCTTCCAATGAAGCTCCTTTGTCTTCATGGTTGAATCTCTACTTGAAATTTATTGATCGATGGAGCTAACCAATGGTGTATTTATTCTGAAATCATGCGAACTATTATTGCACACTGTCAGAATCCATTCAAATGTGTGACAAGGTAGTTTTCTGCACCTGAGCTAGTTTAAATGGGATGGATACTTATGCTATTCCCATAATTCATATTAATATTGCTATTGACATACAGGATTTTGTGTTTTAATTTTTCTGTGCAGTGTGATATTTAACTCTGTTCAAATTGTTTGAACATTCGAGTTTAGATTTAAAATATTCAACAAAATGGGACATCATGGAAGGGAGTGAATACTTTCGCAGTGCACTGTATCATTTGTTGTGATTAGAATTGAAAAATACTGTTTATTTGCTTCAGATTGGAGCAGATATCTGTGGCTTCTTTGATGATACTACAGAGGAACTGTGTGCACGATGGATGCAAGTTGGAGCTTTCTATCCTTTTAGCCGGAATCATAATGCGCAAGGATATAAAGTAGGTATTTCAATGAAAGGTGAAATATATTTTTAAAAAATTGTATGAAACTACAAATGTAGAGAAGGTCTGTGTACCAAGCATTTACCTGCATTTACAATATGACTACGCATTTCTTTATCTAGATCATTAACATATTTCTACTATCATTGTAAATCAACAAACATTGACCATTGTATCATTGTGCTTAATTATTTACTTGCCGCTTACATAACATATTCACAATCATATTATTGAATTGTAAGGTTTAGCCTTGAAAGGCTGTTTATTATATTGATTGCTCCGCATTTTAATCTTTATTGCATAGCACATCGTCTAGTTTGCACAGATTTACTGTACAACATAATATTAGGATTATTTGACCAAATTCATTGTTATTGAGTAAAGTCATGAACTTAAGCCACAGATTATCTTTGTCTATCTTTGAAAGTTGGGAAAGGTGAGAAATACTGCTCCTTTTGGTTTTAAAAAAAAGAAAATCTGACCTTTAAGTACTTTATACTGTACATTTTCAGCTGTGGCACATCTCTACCACCAAACTTACAAAGAAAGAACTGTTGGAGTTAAAAAGGAGTTACGAATCCTAATAACCCTCTTCCTTTTTTACAGCCACAAGATCCAGCATATTTTGGTTCCAGTTCCATCGTGGCACAGACCTCGAAGCACTATTTGAGCATCCGATATACCCTTTTGCCATACCTCTATACTCTCTTTTTCAAGGCTCACGTCAATGGGGACACTGTAGTCCGGCCCATGATGCACGAGTGAGTACAAAACTCTTCTGGAGTAGCATTGCATGTCATCAAAAGATCCGTGCTTTCGTTACGCAGAGTGTAAGGGCGGTGAATGGTATGAGCTAATAAAAACTTGAATAGTTGCAGGTTTTCTTTACAGGCATTACTTTGTATGACATTTTCCCCATTAAATCTTAATTGATCTATTTTTATATTTGATAATACTGTAAGTGTATTTAATTGCTTTCAGGTTTTACACAGATAAAGCAACATGGGGAGTTGACCGACAGTTCTTGTGGGGACCATCTCTTCTCATCACACCTGTTCTGGACCCTGTAAGCTGCTTTTTCTACTAGAGAATGAAAACATTATTTTATAAGGAGAGTAAAGTATTGATTAGTGTAGAGAATTATTAGCAAACAGTCATACGAGAAATAAAATCATAGTTATAACAGTAAAATGAAGACTGATAGCACTGAATGTTAATTACCAAATAAAATAAAAATTAATAACTATAACAATATAATACAAACTAATACTTTATAAAAAATAAAAGGAAAATAGCTAGTTAACAGCTAGCATTTCATATTAAATTATACTGTAGGTCATAGATTGTATTGTACATAACAATATCTTCCTGGCGTGAATTAATTTAATGATTTTTATATTGTGCATGAATGGCAATTGGTTGGATGTGTTTCACAGTAATTAAAATTGTTTTTCCAAAGAAGAAAATACACAGACTAGAAAAAAACACTCTCTGTTAAACTAATCTCAACAGTTAGACTAATGAAATCCAAGATCTACCCAAAGATCAGAAAACTTTAAACCTTGATCTTTCTCACAGGATTGACTAGGGAAATGTATACCTCTTTTCAGCTTCTAATAAGATCTCGATAGCAGCAGCTCCCAGTTAAATTCACCTAATTATTTTATAATATAGACCTCTGTGACCATCAAAGAAGAGAGAGCTCTGCTTTCACATAAGGGATCTAAGGCTGCCTGACATCTCTTTGGAGCTTTCCAATTAGACCACATTTGTGCTGCTTTTGTTTGTGCTTCCTAAAGAAAAATAAAGGCCCCCACTTCACCTGAGTCTGACACAAAGTTAGACTATCTTCAGGGGATACGATATGTATTATTGTATCTCTGAGGAATTGGCAAGAAGACTCTGAAGTCAATATGAGTGATGTGTATGACCTAATGCCTCATCTTGGGCACAGTCTTTTGTATTGTTTATGCAGAATTCAAAAACACTGCAAATCATTAATTTTCTTTAATGTGTTCAACACATGTTCAATATTACAATAACATGGCTATGCTGGCATTAATGAGAGAATAAAAAACAACAGCCAAAATAAACATGCATTTCTTTTTAGAACAATGCAATTTGTTATGTCCCAGTGTGTTGTCTATGTGTGTTTTGTTTCTGTGTTCCACACTTCCTGACCTTGGTTGTTCTTCCTCCCCCATTGGTCCATCATTACACTATTGTTTCTGTATGATGTCATCATCAATCAGCTTCTCAGCCAATCAGAGTGCATCTTATTCAGTATATAACATGGAGGTTTTTCAGAAGGAGGAGGCCTTTTGTTTGACTTAAGTCCTGCTTGGCTTTGGTTTCGCTCCATGTCTTTGTATAGCTTCAGCTTTGTTGTTTTGTTGGTTTGTGTTCATCTCTTTGTATTTTCGTTTGTTTGTGTTTATCATTGTGTTTGCCATTACCTTGCCCAAACTTGTTATGTTCAACCTCTGTGTTCTTTTGTACCCTGTTACTTGTGCCACTCTCGTTTGTGTTTGTTGTTCAATTGTGTAAACTCTTGTGTATTAGGTTAGTTTAGGTTGTTGGGTACACTTTACATATGTAGTTGATTCTTGTGTTAGTCACACTAGTTTAGTACGGGTGAGTGCCGTTTGTCTTGTTTGGTTTTGGGTCATCAGTGGAGGTTGGAGGTTATCAATTCAAATATTGATTTACAAGAACATAATTTATTTTATATTTAGTGTTTTATCAATATAGAGAAGCATTGGGTGTCATATTTTCTCAGACTTATGTTGTATGTTTTTCCAGAACTTATCATTCTTGAATTGGCTAAAGAATGTTTCTGTTTGACTTACCATTAAAACACAATTAGCAAATACAATTATTCTAATGGAGGTAGAATAATGTCTAAGACAGATGCTGTGTATTCATGATTATGTTTATTCCTTTTATGAGCAACATCTGTATCTGTTAATAATTGAATTATTACTTTGATTCAATTGATTGGAATGAAAATACACATTTTCATTCTGCAATTTAAAATCTGGAATTTAAACTCCAAACTCTTAATGATATAGAGCTCCCAATTATTTTATCCTTCCTTAATTATTGTAGCACTTACTGTATATCAGATGAATTCTGGATTAAATGTCCACGAAAGGTCAAACTTTAGTTAGGCTTTGTATACAGACTTAGTGTGATGTTTAGTTCTCCCTGTGGGATATTTAATCTTTTAAGAGTAAGAAAGATTTAATTTAGAATCCCTGCTGTAGCAACATTGTACATTCAATGATTGGATTTTCTTATCAGACATAGTACATACAGAACGATGTGTGTCATTAGTGCTGCTTATCAGATAAAGAGTTACACATCTAATGAATAATTACTTCTTTCCAATTACACGGCAATTAAAGCATTTTATTTAGAGTCTTTAGAACCATTAAGACATACATAGCTGTCATTGCAAGTTTTAAGGAAAAATTAATTGCTATTTTTCTATAGAATTTAAACAGTATATACAGGTGTTTTGTTTGTGTTTTTTACCTAGGGTGTTAACAGAGTGAGAGCTTACATGCCAGATGCAGTTTGGTATGACTATGAAACGGTAAGATTCACTTCTATAAACTTCAATAATATAACTTTGATCCTTCAATTTAATGAGTCAAACCTTTTAAAAAATCTCATTCTTGTAATCGCAGTGCTGCAGAATTCCTTATTGAATGGAGTGTGCTCTGTAAAGGTGGGATAGATGCAATATTTTACACACCTGGGAAAGTTTGACCTATTTGGGTAAAAAGGAACATACTGTGAGCACCTCTCGTGTAATGGGACTGAGCTTAGTCTTTGATCTGAGGGAGGTTAATAGAGTTTTGTGCCCACTATGTAGGTTCCTGTTTGATCTCTTCTCTTGATATTGTATATTTGAAATTTGGATTTCCTTCAAAATGTTCTAAATTCAGATTGTGACCGTTTTTATTACGTGGCCTCACCACTATGCAGATCCAAAGAGAATTCAGTCTGGATTTTTTCAGCTTTTACAGAATGTGAGATGATATGAATACAGTGTTTCATTAGCCTAGTTCATTTGTAATATGTAAAACCTAAGATTTTTTGTTTACCACCACACATTCCTGCCTTATTCTAGATATTTTATTTAAAGGTCAGTAATATTTATCTTATTTAAACTATTTTGTCTTTGTTTAAATTTACTTCCTCATCACCTCCATGAACACCTAGAATCTGGAAAAGGATTGTATTTTGTTTACTCTCCTCTTTAGCAAAGGAGTTTGATCACAATTCTGCAATCAGAAATGTTTTAAATCCACAATTCACAATACCATTCTCAACAAACTAGCTGATAGCTGATACCAAACAAATCTTTGCATAATATAGCAGTATATGATAAAATGTTTACTGCTGTATGTAGAAACTTCCATATCTGCATTCTTCATTCAGGTCAGTAACAAATATGCCTTTTAGGTATGGCCAGATCTCCATTTCTGAAAGTAGATCTGTAGATTTTTAAATTGTCTTTTTCACAGAAAGTGACATTAGCACTTCATTCTAAAGGAGAGAGAATACAATTTTAAATGGATGATGGACAGTGAACTGCTGTGTGTCCATCAGAAAAAGTGGTGAAGTGTCTGTAGTCACAGTTGATTAAGGAAATACAATAGTTCCTTACAGACTTGACACAATTCTAAAATTGGGAGAGAAACATTATCAGGGCCAACAATGAAGTGTGATACAATCTGTAATTGCTTATAGTATTCTTTGGTGATTAAAGCATTTGACAAATCAAGCCTGTGAAAGGATACTCCAAAAAAAAGTGTTTTAAATTCTTCCCCATTCTGTCAGATATTTCCTTTGGGAATTAAAATTAATTGTAGTGAAATTCATGTTTCAGCTGTATAATGTCCCCAAGCCCTTTTGCATTTATGTATGAAGTGCACACACAGGAAGGCAACTTGGGGAATGTTCAGATTGATAATGATGCCCACTCACTTGTCTGTGGCTAATTCCTTGGATTATTTGGAGGTCAGCCTGAAAAAAAAGCATACCTGTGAAACTTCTAATATTTGTTTTTCCAACATAAAAAAACTGGAAAAAAGTCCATTTTACCTGCAGGACATATTGAAATACTGTAAGAAGACATTTCATGTTATTGACCATTTTGTTTTTAATAATCAGGAGGAAAGACTTGCTGCCCGTAAACAAGAAACGGAATTGTTCCTTCCTATTGACAAAATAGGTATTCATGTCAGAGGTGGTGCTATCCTGCCAATTCAAGAGCCTGCTGTCACAACGGTTTACAGGTATTAAAGCTCTCCACGTGTCCAAACAGACTTGCATTTCTTTTACGTTTAACAGGCTTATTACAGTGGGTTTAATGGTCTCTGCCTTTTTCCACTGCTAATTCAACTAGCTTTTCACACTCCTTTTTCATAAGATTTGTAGACGATTATTTGAAATCTATAGATACAAACATATAAAACATATTATCCCAACTTTGAATACTGCAGACATGATCTTTTTTTAGATGTACATACAACATATTAACATTTTTTATGCATGCCATACATAATCAGATGTATCGCATTTTTATAGATGTTAGCTTTTTCTCTTCTAACTGTGGCAATCCACAGCTGTTACAATTGCCTTTGCATGCTTACTGTAGTTTATAGAACTCATAAATGCATCCTATGAAGGGAAGCCTGAAGTAGTAGTCAACAAATATCTTTGCATCACAAATCTTTTTCTTTAATGTTAAATGATGAAAGATGCAAGGACTGCTTGTCTTTTTTCCAGTCGCCGTAATCCTATGGGACTGATTATAGCACTGGATGACAGCGGCAATGCAGGTGGAGAGCTGTTCTGGGACGATGGAGACTCTCGAGGTATTCAGTGAAGCAGTGTTAATTAAAAGATTTTCAGAGGTGGATTGCTCATTTTAAGTCTATATTTTTGAGAGAGAATTTACCTGTAGTGGCGCTAAAATATTTTTCACTTTTCAGGCAGGTTTACAGTATCAGTGTTTTATCATTTTAGATTAAGTAGGTCACCTGAACCCTCCCTGTTATAATAGCATTGTCAAGGCAAAATGGTTTTTCTGGCTCATTAATAAAACACGTGCCTTAGGAGATAGGTCCCTGGTCAGTAATCAGGTCAGAGTTCAATTGATTTTTTTTTCTAGTTAAAAGCCTTTCTGTGTTTATGTGTTGTGTTTCTGATGACTGCACATCCACATCATCCTGTCTGTAATATGACACTAAGAGAACATATAATTAAATTTTAATATCTTCATAATTTTCAGACTCTGTGTCACGTGGAGCATATATTCATTACCAGTTCTCCGTTATTTCAGTGAGTACTTGTTAAAATCAATCAACTTTCCTATAAGAATCTGAAAATCCTTTGTTTTTAGAAATACATACCCCCCCCCCCAACCATGTTTATCAATTTCTAAATGTTTTGCTTTTCAGTTTTATAAATATTTTTATAAGCACGTCTGTACTTTAAAGTTTGTGAATCAGTTGAGTGAGCAAATGTTTCATGTACTGTATATGAAGATCTCATGGAAACCTTAAATTGCTTCTGAACTAGTGCCAATACACAATTAATGACATTCATTTTCAAACTTCACTGTATTCAAGAAAAAGAGACAAAAATAGAATCAGAGTGTTCCATGTTTTATATTAAAGCACTCAATGATGAATATTAATTTATGCATTTTATTTATTGCTCCACCAGGGACGTCTGAACATGCAGGTGTTGAAAAATGGCTACTCTGACCCAAATAATCTGAAGTTTGAAGAAATTAAAATACTGGGAGTGGCAAATCCCCCAACCTCTGTTGTTATCAAACAAGAACTAAATGTCATATCACTGCCAGCTCAAAACATTCAGTACAATAATGTTACCAAGGTAAATTATATGCTATGTCTAATCTGTCCATTATAAAATAGTTTTGTTATGTGTTATTAATTATTCTTTCACAAGGTAGATATTCCATTCCCTTTTGAACTTCTTGGAAATTAAATTGAATATGTCACATTTTCATTTATTTTGACAATTAAAGAAAAAAACTATTGTTTTCTTTGACAATGCTGCAAACATACTCCTTTTCAAAAATATAAAATTCTACAAATAGCCATCCATGGGCTTTGTAAATTAAATTATTTTGATTCACTTTTAAATAAGAGTTGTACTACTATTACAGATTAATATATTCGGAAATAGAACTAATAGGTTACTGTTTCCTACCAAGTTTAGGTAACTAAATGTGTTTTCCCACCATTATTGAACATTATTTGTTTCCAAATAAAATGTTTAATTAAAACTGACACATCACTTTTTGTGCTCTCATATGGATATAAAGTATTATGTCTTCTCCATCTCGGTGCAATGTAAAGCAAGGGTTTAAAATTGTTCTATTAAAATAAAGCTCGCCACAAAAGTAACAATCATTTTAAACAATCATTTTCTTTTTTCATTTTCATACATGTTGTATCAAATGTTAAAAAACTACAAAAGCCTAACTGAAATTCCTCCAGAAGACATTTTTAGTATAATGTATATTAGAACTGTATAATAATCTCTATATTGAATGTACTTCTAAAACCAAAGGGTGATTTCTTAAAATCAAATCTTAACTTGTTTGCAGAAGTATAAAGATGTTATTCACCCAATTATATCAGTCCTGCTAACATGTGAATTGTATTGAAAGTCAGGTTTGAAAAATTGCACCCATTCTTCTGATTCTGAACCTGAATAATTGCAAACTTATCAAAACACATGTTTAGATAGCAAAGCTTTATACGTCTAAAAGGTTTTTTAAATTTATCGTCTTACTCTTTTACTCTTTTTGCAGGTTCTTCACTTAACAGGTCTCCAGCTTGAACTAGGTCAGAGTTATTCTGTAGAATGGAATCAAGTATTAAATGAAAATGAAAGATTTGACTGTTATCCTGAGGAAGACAGCAATCAAGATAAATGTGAAGCTCGTGGCTGTCTTTGGGAGGTGATTATTATTTCTTGCAGATTCCAACGTAAAATTCAGATATATCGTGTTAAATGAGAATTGCATGCCATCTGCACTGTCATTTCCTACTTAATGGATGCTCTGATATGTCCAGCCATCTACAGTATGTTCCATTAGAACTGGTTTCTTAAAAGACTTCTCTAAGACGATAAGTGCCATGCTCTCTTTCTCAACATTTGCAATATATCATCTAAAACCCTTAGAGTTTTCATCAACATGTCCATTAGCCCATAAGCATTTTATACTTCAAGAACTAAGAACTAAGAACGGTCTGGACCTTTTGGGTTATTTGCAGCATCACTTAACACAACGCATGATTTTTCTACTACAACTATATGGTCTTTTTTCAGCCCTCAGACACTCCCAAGGTGCCTTGGTGTTTTTATCCTCATGACTTTGGGTACATTGCAGATACAATTACAAACACTTCATCCGGAATGTTATTTCAAATCAGAAGGAATAATAAATACCCTCTAAATCATAAAAGACAATCTGCTGACATTGAAAGACTTCAAGTTGAAATAAAGTACTTAAACCAACACCTGCTGCAATTTAAGGTAAGGTTGAGGACTGTCTTGAAAATAACTTTCTGATTTGTAAAGGGCATTTGAAGGATAATGTAGACATTTGCTTGACTTATTGACTGGAGATAGAAACTTAATTTTATAAAAAAATATATCATCTTTGTTGAATGGACTGAGGTTAAAAAGAGAAACTCATTAATGCACACTGTGATTTCATCTGTTTTTTTATTTTCTGTATGATAAAATGTTGGTGAGGGCATAAGAAGAGAATGTTACATTGTGTAAGTGATGCCCAAATTACTGTGGAATTGCTTATGCTTTAGCCAAAGTTCAGAAGAAAGCCCTTTCTATAAGAAATGTGTTCTCAAGAAAATATGTCAAGCAAGACAGGCACCAAATATTTAACATTTTGCACGGACAAAATTGGTCTTCTTTCAGATATATGACCCTAGTGCTAGACGATACGAAGTGCCTGTTCCTCTCAATATCCCCTCCACACCTGATCCAGTCAACCAGCTGTATGAAGTTACTGTGGAAAAAGAACCTTTTGGTATTAAGGTGAAAAGGAAAAGCACTGGAACTGTCATGTATGTTAAAACCTGATAACTAATTGCCCTCCTTTTGAAATTGTCATTGTAAGAGATGCTATATTCAAAGATAGATTTAGTTTAATAAAACTTTTGCCCTGCTTTCACAAAAAATATTTCGTTAACTGCATGTAATAGCCTGTTAGTACTGTTTATATGTATCAGATTATGAAGAGTTTATATATCTTTAACAAAGAGCATGTTGAACTTGACAGCATTTCGTAAAAACTACTCTTCCAGAATATATTTAATTAGTTATCACAAATAACCTAAGCTTTAATGTAGTTATGTTTTTTATGATATCCTAACTTTTGCTTTACCCAAGAGCCTTCATAGTGCAGAATAATGTAGATGTTTTAAAATGTCAGTTTGACATACCAATAACTGCTAGTTATCCTAAAGTAATGGAAATATTTGGGAAAATATTTCTAAATTGTCAAGGAAATCAATATTAGAATATTCTTACTTTATTGGTGACATGATGTACAAAGAAACTATTGCAATTTTAATGTTCCAGGTCATTAAATGCAAAATCTTTTCCTTATCTTCTTGAAGTCCAAGTACTGTATTTCGCATCTAATTGTCATCATTTTGGGAACTTGGGGTTTGTTTGATTTTTGCTGCAAAGACTGCCTGAATTCTATTTTTGGTAAATGATAATAAAAACAGTAATAGCCATAATAGCAATTTCCCCAACACGTAAATATAAAATTACTGTACCTTTTGTCCCTTTATCATTACCTGTGCCTTGATCAACTCTCAGCTAAATGAGTTTGAAATGAAGCCTTATGCCATCTTTGTAGCACACCTACTGTACTGAAAATACAATATCAGACACCCAAAGTACATCACATTCAGAGGCTGTGTTCTGTTTCCTGAAAACCTTTTCTGGTCCATTTATGCAGCTGGGATTCTCAGCTCCCTGGATTCACCTTCAGTGACATGTTCATTCAGATCTCCACTCGACTGTCTTCAAGCTATGTCTATGGTTTTGGAGAAACAGAGCATCCCACATTCCGTCATGACTTGAACTGGCACACTTGGGGAATGTTTAGTAAAGACCAGCCCCCTGGTGTAGGTATACCGTTCATCTTTCACAGTGATTTCAGTTTTTTTTAAATGAGCAGATTATAACGTAAAATTGAAGACAGTTAAAATGGAACATAAATGCAACATTTTCTTATGTAGTTACTCTATAGATGTTGTATGAATAAACATGAATAAACACATATAAAGAAAGGTTTACTGTCATCGATACCTGAAAGGAACTTTGCAAATTTTAAGTGTATATAACAAGATTAGTTTTCCATCGTGTTCCAGAGTAAGGACAGCAGATAAAAATGTGTTTTATTTTCTTTTATTGTTGTGTGCAATGGATCACGTTAATTGTTTTGACAACAAGCTATGTTAAAAACATACTGGATGGACATATATTGGCATGTTAATGCCTGACTGAAAGGTTATTGCAACTTGACAATTTTAGAATATTTCCCAAAAAGTTCATATACAATACTATCTGTTAATTATTCCTTGCCTGTAGGAGCCTGCTAAAAAGGAGGGAGAGCACAGGGAGTAAGTAGAATAAAAATTACTGTAAGTGCTAGAAGTTCTTGAAAATTAAGAAAACAAAACCAAAACAAATTAGATGGGCCTGTCATTCTGTCATTGACAAAAGTTGTAGACTTTCTTTGTTTACTTCATTGTATATCCCTTGTTTTTAAAATGTTAATATATGATACATATTTTTTTAACAGTACAAATTGAATTGCTATGGTGTTCACCCATTTTACATGGGTGTGGAAAAAACTACAGATGCACATGGAGTTCTCTTACTAAATAGCAATGCAATGGGTAAGGACCATGCTTTTTAGTGTTTACATTACTTTACATTTACTGTATATACAGTATTTCTTACAAGCAGTTATGCACAATCATGTTTTTTGCTCTTTTATAAGAGCCTTTCTGAACTTACTCTTTATGAAATAACTGCTTTCTTAGGTTATTGTCTCTGTCAAAACTTTGTACACAAGTGTTATATTTATGGCAGTAACCACTTAGACACAATAGCTTTCAAATGCCTGTTGTCTTTACCTCTTTTAAAACATACAGTCGATGCCAATTAGAAACACTGTTGAATATATTTTATTTCTTAGTCTTACTGAGCAGCAGATCTTTCAGATTCAGCCTCAAACAGAAGTGACTCTCTGTATTGAATATCTAGGATGTGTATCAATCCTTTGTTGTCTTCTGCTTTTGAATTCCCAATCAGAAGCTTAATCTCATAATGAAAATGCAGCTACTTTCTTTGTTCAAGTAGAGAACACAGGACAATCAAAAAAGGCTCGCCTTTCTTCCTAAGGGAATAAAGAACAGCACTAAAATAAATCTGATAAACCAATATTGATTGCTAAATCAGATTTATGAAGTGATTGGAGGAAACCAATCCAGACATTCTGGCAGCTATCATTACAATCAGCAGGGAATATGGGGATTCTAACTATAAGCATGAGAACCAATTGAAAAAGCCACAGCTTATGAAGCTGTAGCTTGCGGAACAAATTATTATTAGTAGTTATAGTACTTAATGATTGCATACCATCTGTATGGGCACTGTTTACTTTGTTAGATTTACTGAGGGCTAGAGTCTGTGATTTCTCAAAGATCTGGATGCAAGAACATTGAAACTCTCTGAACGTCAGTGAATGTTTGCCATTAAAAATCAAAGCAACAACTTGCACTAGTCTCCTGGCATTTGCAGCTACTGTGACTTGCAGTTACTGAGGGATCTGGTGGTGGTGGTGGTGTGTGTGTGGGGGGTGGGGGTGGGGGTGGGGGGTGATTTCCTGGAAATGTGGGACTTGACAATAAATACCCAAAAAGCCGTATGTAACATCCTTTCTACTGCTATCCACTTCCACACTATGAATGATTTCGCTTACTTTATTTTGAACAGTGCTGCACTTCAAAACTATAAACTGTAGTAACTCAGAGTGAAATACACTTTAGGGAAAATGATTAATAAATAGCAACCACATAGCTTAGTAGATTAATCATGGTATGCCATGTTGCGAGTCTATTGCCTTCTCTGAATTGTGAGTGACATGACTGTTTAGGGGCAAAGCAAGTCTATCCAGCTCATCTGAACATACAGTGCGGGTACAGAGATGCTCACATCTGTTGTTCACAGCTGTAGCCTAATCTTGTCGGAAATGATCTGTCAGGAAGAACCCAGAAACCATCTGAACCTCTGGGTCTAAGCTTCCTCTGTTATGTGGGCAGCTCTGGTTACACGTTCTTTCTGCAGAGCAATTAAAGTGTTCAGTGGTATTCAGTCTTGCTCTTTCCTTTTGGGAGAACAAGTCATCAAGTTTCTTTGATTTGTAAGCCGGTGACAAAATCTATCCAAATCCATGTGCTTCCTTATGTATAGTTTTGTTTTTGCTTATTTTTTAAAACACACAGTGCTCACTAATTTGAACCATAGGATACATAGGATTAAAAATTGTTGTGTTGCATTGATGGTCTGGGAGCTGGATCTGCTGTATTTCTGTCTCAAAACCACAGAGCATTTAACAAAAATAAATTCACTTAGTTAATAATTAACCTGATAAAACCTACAGTAGAAATTAAAAACATATATTGGGAATTAATTCAAAGCTCCTGAAAGCATCTTTGAAAATCACAGCAGTTTTAAAGCCTTATGTCCAGGGGATACTCTTTTATAGTATATACATACATAATCACTGATATTTATCTTATTTTGTAGTATAATGCATTTATGTGTTTTTCCATTTTCAACTTTCAGATGTGACCTTTCAGCCTCTTCCAGCTCTAACATACCGTACCTTAGGAGGGATTTTGGATTTTTATATGGTTATGGGCCCTACACCTGAACTTGTTGTCCAACAGTACACAGCTGTAAGTACTAACACTTGCCTGCCAAAAACAAATAGTATATGAATGTGGAAAGTGAAATCTTCCGCCTTCTCCTGTTCATTGTAACACCTAGTCCAAAGTAACATGCTCTGTGCAGGTCACGGGATTGAACTGTGCTCCTGATGAATTGCTGATCTAGGATGAGGAGCCTCAGGGAGCAACAATTTGGCTTGCTGTAACGGAAAACAGCTGGGGTCTGTTTGCGCCAGTGCACCTCAACATCCCCTACTAAGTAATCATCCAGAAAGACCATCTAAGTTGAGCCCTGACCTTCTTATTTCAGAAACTTGGCAACATTCATTGATCAGGCCATTAAGTGGAAAGTGTCAGCTGGAATGCACTGGGATTATAGTGCTTAGGTTATATGGTTTGCGTGTGGGTTGCATCCATAAGTTAGCATCAAGATGGCATACTGTAAGCATCAGGTAAAACTGGGATGGAAAATAACTCCATAAACATTTTTCTGAATGTCTAACATCACATTTTTTGCTATCTGTCAACAGCTTGTTGGTCGTCCAGTTATGCCAGCCTATTGGTCATTGGGTTTCCAGCTCTGTCGCTATGGATATAAAAATACCACAGAAATAGAACAACTCTACTATGAAATGAAGGCTGCTGAAATCCCATACGTAAATATTTTTTGGCCCATTCTGTACAGCAAATTGTATTACATAAGAGTTTAACATATAAAGCTAATATGCACCTTCTAAAGAATTATACTAAGAGAATATTTCCAATAGGGGGGGTTATATTTTATTCCTGTCTCTACACATGACCACACAAAACAGTGCCGTCCCTAAGTAGTCCTAACCTGAACCATTATCCTTTTCTTTCAAATCATTTACTGTATTACTATTACCCATTATTAATACTAATGCCCCCTTTCTATTTTTCATTATAGTAATTAAATGCAAATATGCCATAAATACATAGCATAAAATATACCCTATCCAATACACCAAATCAATCATCACATCTATGTAGTTCTAGATCTATGGACTAGATTCCAAAATGCTATTAAAATAGGGCATCCTTTTCTCAACTTGCCTGGTACAAGCCATTTTGATTTAGGTCGTAATTCAATGTTCAGATCCATGTAGACAAAACCAAAGATATTTTGAATTCTAAAAATCCCCAGTGGTTTCCAGCTACTGAATCATATTTATAATTGTACTTACCTGAAGCTTTCTGTCACAGGATGTTCAATATGCAGACATCGATTATATAGAAAGACAACTTGATTTTGTTCTTGACAAAGACTTCCAGGGGTTGCCGGCTCTCGTAGACCGAATGAGAAGTGAGGGTATGCGTTTTATTTTTATTCTGGTAAGTTTCTAATGTTTGATGAAAAAAACAATATAACCTAGTGTAAAATAGGGAAACATTGTATGTGATATACATTGCTTGAGGTTTTCCCTTTATGTGCACCTTAAGTTTAGGAGTTTTGTACAAAGTTGATGAATAGGTGAGATTAGTTGCCAGGCTAAGAGGAAAAGTATTCCTGTTTAATAATGTAGGAATTTAGTACTTGGCATTGGTTATTTGTTGTGAAGTTCCAGTATCAAATTGCAGTTTTAACTTTATTCCATGTTTAGCAATTGTGTCTTTTTATGATACAGGATGCATTATGGATAGTTCTTCGCATGGTCCATAAAGTTCTTAAAAATTCTTCTACTAAGATTTAAATGAGAGAAAAGGCTTCATTTAAAAATTTAAAATGTTAGTTGCATTTGTTATTATAATGAAAATTGTTGATTTCCAAAATGTATTGCAATGCTATCCAATACATTTAATGTTTTTATGTATATTTGCTTCACATATATTGTATTATAATTTGTATGTTTTCAAACTCATATTTCCTTTTCTATTAGGATCCTGCAATCTCAGGAAATGAAACTCATTACCCTGCTTTTGATCGAGGAGTTAAAGATGATGTTTTCATAAAATGGCCTGACAGTAATGAAATCGTGTGGGGAAAGGTATTGAAAACAGTAAATAATAATAATAATAATAATAATAATGTTAACTTTCATTTTCATTACTACAGTCCTGTAGTAATAAGGCTTGATCTGTTGGCATGTGGTCTAAACATTTAGGACTCAAAGCTACAGTGCATGTTCTTAATTTATGCAGTAATATTGTCTTGATATTTCCTTTAGATTTCATGAGTTTGTACTAGTCAGTATAATTCTAAAATGCACCAGATATAATTTTTTGTTTTTTTCTGGGTCATCTAGGTTTGGCCTGATTTGCCAAATGTTACAGTTGATGAATCATTGGACTGGGAAATACAAGTGCAGGTAAACAACATTCTTTTCCTTCTGCATAGTTAACTCTTGTTTCAGTTCTTTTATAATGCCACTCCAGTCTTTGTCCTGTCTTAAACCTTAAGTTCCTGACTGTAAACCATTATGTGTTTCTCATTTATTTATATTTAGATTTACAGGGCATATGCAGCTTTTCCTGATTTCTTCCGCAATCAGACAGCAGTGTGGTGGCTTCGGGAAATCGAAGAATTTTACAACAATACTATGAGATTTGATGGTCTGTGGATAGTAAGTATAACTGACATTGACATCATGCTGACTACTGTATACAGTATATAGGCAGTGATGTATATTTTGCTTTCTTGTTTCTTTTCTTAATTCTTGTTGTTTGTTGAACTAAAATATTTGTCCTGTGCTCTTCATAGCAGTTTGGTCTTTACAAGATAATTTTTCTAAAACTGTTGGTTGTGTTTAAAACAGCACTGGAAAGATCATTTTATTTTAGGTACTATGTGAAACTAATTGCTCCGGTATCCACAAGATTTCAGTCATAGGCAAAGCTTTAGTAATAACATTTAAAGTAGGAGTGATTTTTTTCCCCTCTCATCTTCTTTTTTAGGATATGAATGAGCCTGCAAGCTTTGTTCATGGCAGTCCTGATGGCTGTCGAGATCAAACTCTTAATTTCCCTCCTTACATGCCACGTAAGACAATAGAATTGCATAAACTGATTTTCCATTACATACAGACATACTGTAAACAACAGTATATTCCATTATCCTTTTTACCTGATTTTGTCTCTTTTTTTCTCTCTCCAAGCACTGGAATCAAAAAGCTTAGGGCTCCAACATAAAACCTTGTGCATGGAAAGCCAACAAATCTTGGCTGATGGCACTCCAGTCAGGCACTATGATGTACACAACCTTTATGGATGGTCTCACACAAAACCAACATATGAGTAAGTATTCTAATGCAGCTATGACTTTTATTATTACGATTCTTAATATGTACAGTACTGTATATTGAGCATCGCACACTTCAGCACACTTATTTAAAATGCAGTGTGTTCAGTTTAACATGTCACATGGCTTGTAATCCCCCAACTGGGACACACCAGTTATAGAAATAAGCGTACAGGTGTTCACTTATTTGTCAGAAGGGGTCTCTCTTCATTGATTTTGGCAAAATAGGTTCACAACTGTGGTAGTACTGTATCTCTGGGATAAATGTTGATGACTGACTATTACCCAGATTAACCAATATACTGTATCTGTCAACTATTAGCTTACTTCAGACGTAATTCAAATTGAACTAGACAGGAGAAAAAGTTTTCATGGATCTTTCATTCTCAAAAGAACATTTTTTCGGGCTGGTTCTGTTTCAGGAAAAAAATATTGTCTCTTTTCGTATCTTTTCTGTTTTTGTGTGTTTGTATATGAACATATATGAGAATTATAGAATATTTTAACATAACTAAATTAATTTCTCTCTTCTTTTGTTTTTTTTCATGAAAAAGCGCCTTATTGAAGGTTACTGGAGAGAGAGGAATTGTTGTCACAAGATCCACTTACCCATCGAGTGGTAAATGGGCAGGGCATTGGCTTGGAGATAATAATGCCAGTTGGGATCAGCTGTTCAAGTCTATCATAGGTATGAACTTACAAGTACACTTCATAACTGAGGTTTTATTTAATGTTCATGTAACCAAGACCAATTTTTATGTATCATATAGATATTGGATTTTAGTGGGAGAAACATTATACCAAATTAACCTCAAGATTTCAAAATTCTCCTCATTTTAAAAATGGCATGCACAACAAAAGTAATACGAAGGAAATTGCATCAATAGAGTGAAAATAAATAAAATTAGGAGTTTACCCCATGGCAAAATACTTCAAATGAAAAAAAAAGCATAATTTATAGTACATAATTTTAGCTTGTTTTAGTGTGTATCTAAAACAAGCTAAACACAACACATACTGTAACAATCAAATAAAACATATGGCAATAATTTTTTGAGTTTTAAAGTTAATCTTTAGAGACAACTATCTGACAAAGCACTGGATTTGACATTTCTGCTAAAGTAGTTTTAAACAGGGATTGTTAAATGATCACAAGTTAGTGTAGCTTTGTCTGTTTTAGCCAGCATATTGAGGATTAATAGAAAAGGTTTCTCTTTTTGCAGGTATGATGGAATTTAGTTTGTTTGGAATTCCCTACGTAAGTACTGAATTAATTTCCTTGTAAGTGTTTTAGTTTAATTTCTGAATTTCTGTTTATTTTGAAAAATATGGCATTCATTACAGTATGGGACATGTCCACCGTTTGTGTTTCTTTAGACTGGGGCTGATATTTGTGGTTTTTTCAATGAAGCCTCATATGAAATGTGCCTAAGATGGATGCAGCTGGGTGCTTTTTATCCATATTCCAGGAATCACAATGGAAAAGGAAACAAGGTAAGTTCACAAGTGAAAGACACTGCATAACCAATTTGCTTCTTTATATCTGTCTATGAATGTTATTATGGCTATTGGCTATCAAAGGGATCTTGTTATTCTATCACCTCTTTAGATTCCATCATCCATCATCATAATCAAGTGTAAGAGCAAACTAAATAGGCTTATGTAGTTCAGGTGGGTAGCTGTGTCAGCATACGTAGTCTGCAAAGGAACAAGTAATAGGTTTATTCCATGCTGAGAAGAGAAGAGAGAAAACACAACGTTTCAGCTGTGAGGCCTTCTTCGGGTGTGAGGTAAATAGGCCTATGTTGATAATGGTGCTTCTAAACTCTCATTGAGATCCACTATGACTACATTGCTGATGGGTGCACATTAAAGGCAATTGTCAGGGTTGTCCCTTTACGTCCAATCATTTCATAATGCCTTGCAAATGAGCATTTTAACAACATGAGACATGAGACGAAAGCACCAAGTCAGCACTATGACCATAATGCCCTGGCGATTGAGAATACTTTTAAGGTCACTTTGAAACATGCCACTTTTTCTAATCAATCTGACTTCTAAGAAAGGTGTATCGTGTTTTTAAATACTGATTTATCATGTATCATCATTTAAATACTGATTTGTAATGTATTTAAATTTCATGCACATAATACAAAGTAAGAGATGGCTCTTCGAGTTACCAATAGAATGCCAGTTTACCTCAAAAATACATTACGTGGATACATGGATAATACATGGATAATTTTAACAGTCTGTTAAAATGATCTTGACTGTTTTATTTTAAATGCACCGAGGTTTATGAAACATAGTTTTTTTTCAAGAAGTTGTTGTCCTTAGACTAAATTAATATACTGGATTGAAATGAAAGTCACCTGACTGTTGAATAATATAAATAAAAGTAGGCAGGGATCCCCAGAGCAAATATTACTGACATTTATTTTCTTTCCCCTGTTCTTTGCATTGTTATAGTTAAACTAATTGTTCCAGGAATAACTATGTGTAACAAGTTACTAGAATACAGACTGCAAAGAAACTCAGCTAGATATTAGGGTTAGCCAGTTTCTGGGGTTCAGCTGTCTCACATGTGCTCTAGTCTTTACTTATTGACTGTGCAACTATTTGAAAAACAGTACATTGACAGATTACAGCAGAAATCATTATTTGAGCAATAATAAATAAAGCCCTGTTTTGAGTATGAGGCTGTACCGAGCTTTTATGCATGTGCATCTTCTTAAAGTTTAAGCCTTCCATCTAAAATGGGAAGACATGCTTAAGTGAAGAGGTTCATAGAATTATAATTGTTTAATTCTACCTCTCTGATCAGCCTTTGTGTATCAAACAGTCAAACTGTAGATTGACAAGTAAAATATTTTAACTTTTTAAGTACAAGCCATAAGGACGTCAAAACACTGGGTCCTGATGCAGCACTCAGTTATAGATCCCTAGCAATTGCAGGACTGTCACAGTTAAAGGGGCTATTTATTTGTGTAAATGGCTTTGCTCCAGAATATTAGCTGTCTTGAAGACTAATGTTCAGCTACTAACAACATCTACTTGTCTTGTGGAAATAAAACAGCCAATACAAATGTGAACCACTTACTGATATAGAGTTATCACAGTATATACTGAATATCTGCACTTTATTGTTGAGAGTTGATGTAAAATAATCCAGCATTCATTCATAAACACACCACAAAATAACTTGTTAAGATTTTAAATTACATTTACTGTATACATCCTTTTGCTGCTGAAGAAAATGGGACATATACCTTATTACATTAAGATAAAGGTTAACAAAACTGTAAAAACTGTAGGAAGCAATTTAAAGTGACCTTAGGAGTAGAATGAAGAACGAAGCTGTTATTTAAAAATCCTTTAAATGAAAAATTATAACTGATGTACAAAAAAATACCCTTTATTTTTAGTGGAAAATGAAATTTTACATTTGAGTACTTTGCCAAAGTCTACATCATAAATCCAGTAACTTAATCACAAATCAAAATTAAACTTTTGTCAGGTCTTTGGGGTTATTTTCTACTTTAATCTGAAGCTTTTGTCAAACATTATAGCAAAAATATCAATGCTATCATGACATTCTATTGTCATGATTGTTATATCAGTTTTTTCTTACTTTTTTGTCATGCTGTGTTGCCCTATTCTTGGATGCTGTTTTCTTGGGCTTGGCATCAATCACTTCAATTGAAAGCAGGGCTGTGAAGTACAAAGATTTTGCATACAGACCTCCCGGATCTACTGCTGAAACTTGTGAAGTCCTTGAAACTTAAATCTTGGCAAATCTTTAAAACTACACTTCTAAAAACTTTTTTTAAATAAAAAATGTACAGTATTATGCTGAACACTGATGTTCTGGGAAGTGTTTTCACTTTCAGAGCAAGTTTGGGATGTTCCCACTGATTTTAAAATCTACTGTAAATTGTATACTTACTGGTCAGAATATTAGGAACACCAGTTGTTTAACAGGTTGGGCACTTGTTATGAACATAAACAACTTGAATAGGATATAACATGTGTTCCCCCAGGTTGAAATATTTTCATCCTCCCCTAATCTAGTTCTTCTTTTGCTTAAAGCTACAGTATGATGATGGTACTGTAATGGTGTGTATTATCTGAACTGTATATTTCCAGCAGTTTTACCAGTTTTCATTATGATTGAAAAGTAAGGATAGATTTGGCCAGGGAAGATCAAGTCTGTCTCATGTTCCTCAAATCTTTGCATTTCCTGCAACTAAAGATTTTTTGTAGTAGACTAATAGTAAACCTGTTTATTATGGCTAATGTGTTCATATCATATATGGAAGTTATTAATTGACGTTCTCAAGCGATTACAACAGCAAGTCAATCTCACATTGCTGTTCCTAATCACAATCAGAAATCAGCTATATATATCGAATACAAACACTTCTTTTTCTTTGTCTGAAACATCCCTCCTCCACCTTATCTCCACCTTTGCAGCTATGCCTTGGTTAACTCCCCTCTCTGAATTGGGGTCCAAGCTCCCTCATCCTATGGTCAGAAGGCAACCCTGGCCTCAACTAAGCAGGCTAAGCCACACCTATCCTACCAAAATAATTAACAAATTCACAAAGCATCTAACCCTTGCTTGTTGATGTCCCTCATGAAATGATTTTCAGTGTCATTTAAACATTTTCTTTCAAAGCTACTAAAAGTTTTAAAACCCACAATAAGTTATCCGAAGCAATTATTATGATTCATCCCTATTTAGTGATGCCATACTGTGCATTACATAGAAATAAGATGGGCCACTCTTCAGACTCATTTAACTTGTGTGCTATACTTAAGCTTTGTTGGACTGCTCCATTTTAAAATCCTGACTATGGAACAAGTCACTCAGGCATGGTCCATTGTCCCTTATGTGAAAATATCCACTCATGCATAAGAGTACTACATAGGATTGAATAGCCAGCTAATTATCTTTTGTCATTGTTCTGTTCTCTGACTTCCTCATAAATGCCATGTCTAAATGTCTAAAATGTAATACATTAAAGGGAAAAAAAAGACTGAATTTCCACTTTCTTAAACTTACCTTTAAGGCAACACAAGATCTGCCAGCTGATGAATGTGTTTTCAGATTAACTGATACAGTAATAGCTCGCTGTTGACAACTGTTAAGGAGATATGGCAATGCCCAGTCAGAGATATTTCTATGAAAGTATTTGAATACAAACACACTGATAACAGAATTATTTGAAATACAACTTGTGTGGAAATATGCTAATCAACGTGACTGCACTGATAAACCAAAGCATCTGTAAACTGTAAAGCTTTCAGCCAATGTTGTATAATTCACAAGAAAAAAGTATTTTGCTGTAGGAAAAAGTAAAACATGCTTTAATAAAACCCATATAGATGTCTTTTGTTGTCTTTTCTCTTTAGATAAAAATGATTGGTGTGGCATTTTTCCAGCAGGCACTGTTGCCCTTAGGGTTTCAGCTTTGGACTGTGTAATCTCCTGGCAGCTATGCGCAGAACAATGCTAAAACTCTGAATTTTGAAAGCCACAATATTCAGTGGTGTTCCCGAGAAACAGAATGGCTTTGATTTTGATCATTAGAAGTTCTGGGGGGAAACCATGGACATGTGCAAACACAGTCTCTGCCTTCAACAGGGAAATGATTGCCATTTATCCTAAATGGAAAATAATGAACTAACAATAAGAAAAGCAAATGCTTAACATACAGAGGTTGTATGAAATACACAAGGCACAGGATAATCACAGTTTAGAGGCAGATTTGATTTCAATAACATTGCCAGGGGGCTGTAATTTCAAAGTTAATTACTGATGGATAATGATTTTCTAAAATTATTAGTCCTTTATTGGTTTCAAGTTTATTGTACCTCAGCAAGTCTGAAACTGAATGTGCTTATATATTTTAGAACTACTGTGTTGCCTCGATGAAAAACAAAATCCCCAGGTCCTACAAATTATGCAACTCATTCATTGTTCACCTGCACTTTCAGATTCATTAAGCTTCTGCGTAGTTCCTTTAAAATTGCATCAGTCTTAAATTTGTCATGACAGTAAACTTCTTGTGTGCTACATTCAGTTCATTGCAGTAAGTGGGTACTGTATCAGTGCAAAATGACTTTATTGGTTTCAGGAAGCATCAATCTTTTGGTTAATTTAAATTAAAAGTTTTTTTTTTTGCTTGGCATGTGGGAATCATTCAAATGCTTCTGTCCCAACAGATGCCATCCGAGTCGTGTTGGCTAATGTCTATATTCCGCATTGTGCTGCCACATTTATCCTCCACTTCAGCTAGAAGCACTGTAGATACATTGCTGAATGTGTTTTCTAGCCACATTAACTTAATGCATTTTTTTTCATTTATAAAGGAAATTACGGTTTTGCCTAATCGTGTCTCTGCGCATGTACTGTACAGGCTTTTAACTGCAGTATATTGTAAATGTTATTCGTTATGGATTTGAATAGTTGCTCTCATCTAATCATCCAATTATATACTGTAGCAATCACTATTGCTATAGGACTTATACAGTACTGTATATCAAATGGTGTGCCTTGTAATATAAATTATGGATGTATTCAAGTATAAAAGGCACATATAACTCTACACATAGCCAGGTTAATATAACCATGCATGATTTCCTGTATTTCACCAGCGTCAAGATCCAGTTGCATGGGATGAAAATTTCACAAATGCTTCAAGAAATGTCCTGAACATTCGCTACACCTTGCTGCCTTACCTTTACACACTCATGTTTGAAGCCCACAGCAAAGGCAGCACTGTTGTGAGACCCCTTTTACATGAGTAAGTGTGTTATTATTGTCATCAAGCCTTATTGTTGTTTTTGCTATTAATTAATTTCAAATCATTTAAATGAAGGAAGAGAAAAAATGAGTACTAAACTGAGCCTATTTTTAAATTATTTGGATTTCTTCCATGAGATAAACCTATGATATGACCTATGATAGCAAGTATTCTTTAATTTAGAATGTTTTAATCCAGAAGTTTCTATTTTATTTTTTCCTGTCTGCAGATTTGTTGAAGACACTATAACATGGGATATCTATAGGCAGTTCCTGTGGGGGCCAGCTCTACTGATAAGCCCAGCTTTAGATGATGTAAGTACTACAAAAGTGTTATTTTTAAATAACCCTAACTGAAGGTGTTGTTTCTAAGTAAAGGAAAGCTGTTCTTTTTTTAAACTTAATTCTAGTTACCAAATTACAAAGAAAATGTAAAAGAAAAATACTAAGGTAATCAATGTATTTTTGTGCTATATACTGCACTTGTAATGTCTACTCTGAATGGCATATAGCTTTAATTTTTAAACATTAGATGTGTGTAGAACTTTTAATGGTTCTTTAACGTAATTAAAAGAGCATTATGCCTTTTACTTGAATTGTGTTTCATAAATATCTCAAATACATATTATCATATGGTTGTTATTATTATATGTTGTGCCTCAGAATGAATGACAGCATTAATATAATCTGTATTTTACATATGTTCAATTTAAGAATTTGTGCTTTGAAACATCAGTAGAAAGGCTACAAATGAGAGGAGGTCATCCTGTTCATCTAGCTCATGTGTTTGCTAATAGCTAATTTTCTAGTTTCTTATCCAGCCATTTCCTGAATGAAGCTACGTTTATCAGCTCCAATTACTGTACATGGCTGGTCGCCAGTCTGCCTCAACACATCGTGTATATAAGTGTCTCCTCTTCTTGGTCTAAAATGCACTTTCCTTTTGTCTTCACTTGTTTGCTTTGCTTTGTGTTGTACTGTTAATTCCTATTCTTTCCACTAGTGCCTCTTAAAATGTCAAATTATATTAATTCCAAATTAGCTTGGCATGTTGACCCCTTGATTTCTACTTCTCAATCAAATGTTCACATTATGCCGAGCATGTGCAGTAAAAATAGCCAAGTTAGGTATCAAGATATCTGAAACCATATGATTAACTGCATTCAGTCTTGTTTTTTCAGGCATGCAAATTAACCCAGACTGAATGAAAGAAATCCCAAGGAGCAATTGTCAATGAGTGTGATCAGCAGATATTAAGTTTAATTTCTTTTTCTTTTTTTCCATAGGGTCAAACAGTAGTTACTGGCTATTTTCCAAAAGCCCGATGGTATGACTATCATACAGTAAGTGTTAGAAAGCTCCATGCTAATAAGTGTATAAGGCCTGCAAATAAATTGTGAAATTAAAGATAATTATGTATAAACTGGGAGACTGTCATTGTGTGTATGATATATTCTGACATTCTATAGTACCAATAATACTTGGAACTCTGAAAGTTTGAATACTGTATGTCATAGTAGTTTGTACTGTAGATGCAGCATTATTTGTTTATGAAAGTGGATACATGTATTTTGCAATGTTCTTTTAAGTGATTGAATATGTTCCTGTTTCAACCCTGTTTGACGGGTAAATTATTGTTCATGTTGATATGTTAAATGCCTCTTAAACCTTGACTACAGTTTCAGAGATGTTACAGATTTGATTAACTGTGTCTGTTTCCAGGCAGAGTACATTGGAAATACCCCAAAGTGGGTGAACATGGAAACACCTCTCAATCACATTAATCTTCACGTGCGAGGCGGATACATTCTCCCATGGCAAGAACCAGGCCTCACAACAGCGCAGAGGTCTCTATGAGTGGATGTTGTGTACAATGTTTGGCAGTTACAAGTCTGCCTATCAGTGGCAATGAAGAGAAATACTGTCTCTGTGACCTAAAACAATTTCATAGTCTGCTATTTCTACTTCTGTTTCTTTTAAAAGTGTGCATGCTCTGAATTCACAATGCTTTAGTCAAATCTATCATCCGTGAAGGTGTACTTTTGAATATGTTAAAACACAACTCTGTTTGATTATTATCCACCTATTTTTCTTGGTTTTATAGTCGAAAAAATCCTATGGGACTGATTGTTGCTTTGAGCGACCAAGGGCAAGCTCAGGGTTCCCTTTTCTGGGATGATGGATCAAGCATTGGTAAGTTGTCAGTATATTATTCTTGCTCTTGTTAAATTATCTACAGTCAGAAGGTATTTTAGAGAATGTCCTTGTACTATGCAATCATTTTCTTAGTAAACTCCCCCCCATGAAACTCAAGCAGCATGGTGTTTCATTCCATCACTCCAATTATCATTGCTCCAATTATTAATATATTTTTTCAAGAAATAGTCTGTTTTCTAATAGTAATTCCTTTACTATATGTATCAGATGTATAGCATTGGCCAATATATGACCCGTGTTATTAGCCTACAAAGAAGCTTTGTTCAGAATAGTGACTGAGATCTCCAAGCTCTGAGATGTCTCCAGATCTCAGTTCTGTGAGTGGTGCTACGTGGCTGGGGTCTTACTTTGCTGCACCCCCCGGGGAGCCTGTGGGTTGGTATGTTTAGAAGCGTATACAGTATATTGTATGCAGTAAAAAAACACAGGACAGCAATAGGATAGTAATTCGAGCAGGTGTGAATTCAGAGCTGCACTTCCATAGCACATTAATAAAAGCAGCAACGAATGAATGGATGTCATCTCAGTCATGCTTCCTGTACCAGCCCTGACACATAATTTCCAGTACTTGCATTAATGTCAACTATTTTTGTTTTCATCTGTTAGACACTTATGAGAAAGGGCTGTACATGCTGACTTCCTTTGCGGCAAACCAGGTATGTTCTTCCTGCTCCGACTGCATCTGATGGCTCTGATGCATTAAATTATTTTTGAAGAAAATTAGAATTTGTCACTGCTCATGTTTTTTGTTGCTTTTCCCTGTGTCATTCCGGATATCAGAACACATTGACGAGCCATGTTGTACATAGCAATTTAAACAACAATGACACTCTCATATTTGGAGAAGTTAAAGTGTGGGGAGCAGGAAGCATCAAAGTCCAGACTGTGGATGTAGTCTATGATGGACAAGCCAGCACTAGAGTGAACTTCACACACAACGTGATGACAGAGGTATGAGCTTTCTTGTAGTTTTACCTTGTTAAGATTATTATTAGCCAGCTACATGGTTACTGAAGATACAGTACATGGAGTAAAGTGAACAGCTCTAGGTGACGAAGTGGCTGTGGGATGTGTTACTGTAGATGGTCGATTGTCATACAAAAAACAGAGCTTTAAAATACACTTCAAGGCCAATAGAAAATGTCCCACTTTGACCTTTTAATTTAAATACCAGCCACAATGAATTATTCTTCCTGATTTTGAGTGAGGAGACTCACTCATAACTGCTCCAATTAATCCAGCCTAATTGCAATTAAATAAAGTCTAATTTGAAATATTATCAACATGCACTCAATAAATATCATGTTGTTCTGTAGAAAAATATTTTTCTTTTAATAAATACAGTCCTGGGAAAAAAGAAACCATCAGACCACTTCAGTATCAAGTAGATCATAACAACATCACAACTTCTTATAAGAATAACAAATGAGACAAATAATGTAGTAGCCCCATCAGCTGTTTTAGTCAATCACTTTTTGAAGAGCTGTGAAGTTCAAGTGAATCAAGAAAGTGAAACATGATGCTGAGATTAGTATTTAGCTGCTACTTTGAAAAACTATGTTGTACAAGGAACTTGTATCTTGATAGGACATGGAAGATGTTGTTAATGGTGAATTCAAATATACTGTATACTGTATATGGTCATGATGGCAGACATTAACTATTTTAAAGAGTGTCAGTGTCACGTTAGATAAATAAGTTAACTGAAAGCATGAACAACGAAAGGACTTGCACGTTCTTTATAAGTACTGTACACGTACAAGGATCATTCAAAGCAGATTTTTATATGATGTTAATTGTCTTAAATATTAATCACCAGTACCTTTATTTAAGGTGTCTTCCCTTACATACTCATATTGTGTACAATTTTCACAGGTAACTAAATTACACAGGACAATGGTGTACAGTCATTTTGTTCGGGATATACTGTATGTAACCTGTTGATTTAAAAAATACAGAAACATTGAGGCCTCCATATTGAAACATTCAGTAAAATGGTTATTTCATGAAATACAAAATGCTTAAGACTAAAGAAAATATTTTGGTCCAGCTCCGTTTTTAGTCTGCTGAAAGGAAATATGTTTCTACTCTAAATAAATACTTTAATATGAGGAAAAGTAAAAGAAAAACTGTGCCTTTGTCTAGACAGAGACCATCATAAATATTAATTTTGAAATCATATTTAACAGAGGTATATGTTTATGGCCTTAGACCCTAGTCCATTATTTGTTCAATATTTTTCACCAACTTAATAGCATATAGATATTCCTGTTATCTATCTTCCTATATTTTTGCATGACTACCTCACCAAATGCAATGAAGAGTGGTGTGGCATTTTGAAATACTTGAACTAACACCATCAGTATCCTTTTCAGTTGTGCTCTAACTCACTGCCAGACGGAAATAACCTTGAATAGTAGTAAATCATTTATATATAATCCTATTTCCTAGAGCTTTAAAAGCAAACCTGTTTTAACAGTCACAAAGATACCTTTGTATGCAACCAGAAAATATTGCTCTGGGAAGAGATTCCTTAAAATGTATTGTTTTTTTTTTTTATTTATTTCAGGAACTTATCATACATTTGGCAGAAAGGGGCTTGTATTTGGGCAGACCCATCAGGATTTCTTGGAAAACTGGTGTTATATAATGGATGCTGCTGGATAACAAGAAATGGAGGATCTATAATATAATAATATTATCTATAATATTACAGAATGCATGGCTGAATATTCCAGGGTCAGGGTGGCAATGAGACAGAAAGTTTTTACTGTTGGAGAATGATTGAAATATGAACACCTTGTTTGTTTCTCTTTTTAGGTAATCTGTAATACAAATAAAGGTTATTTAGGATCTATTGCTTAATCATGAAATACATAGTTTGCATTGTTATTTTCTGTATATGCATTGAGTGACATTATGTAGTTTAAAGGCTATTCCCATTCTATTGTATATTTCAGTGTCATCTAAAAAAGACCAGTATTGAGGAGGTCCAGCAGTGTTCTTTCTATGTTCTAACTTGTATATTCATATACAGTAAGTAACACATAATTCAGTGCAGTCATCTTAATACATTGGCCAATTATTTACACAACAATACATACAGTATAGCACTAACAGTCTAGAAATATGCGTCTAATTGATTTCTGCTCTAACTGGCACTTCCTCTAGGGGGATGAAACATAGAAAGCAATAAAATTAGATGCAAATTAGAAGCATAATAGATAATCTAGATGAGGTTTTTTCTTACACCAGCAGGAGATATGAGAAATGATAATTATTTGGGGTTTTATTAGTGAGAAAATTAGAGTACCTGTTTTTTTATAATAGCAGCATTTGTTTATGTGAAAGTCATCATATATTAGGGAAGGAAAAACCACTTCAAAAGCAACTATTAATACATTCACTGTATTGTTTGAAAATATGTACACTTTTAAGCCACTTAATTAAATACTTTTATTGTGTTATGCTTTGCAGTATAACCAACCACTATAAATTACAATATTAATGAAACTTGTTCATGGCTTATTACTTTTTCATGTTTACTTACTGTGTTGGTTGTATACAACTCATTTTAGCCAGGAAAATAGATTTATATATAATAGCATGATATGGGTAAAGGTCATACATATTTTTGCCATACTATTTTTACCATACTATTTTTTGGGGATTAGTTTGCAAACATTATTTTTTATATGTAACACAAATTTAAACGCACTGATTAAAAATCATTCTGCTGTAAACTCAGACAGCAGAAAATGCCATGCAGAGGTCATTCTGACCTTATGATGATGATTCTTGGCAGAGGTCTGTCTGCAGATGTATAAAAACACTCTATCAGAGATTGTTTTGTAGTGCATACCTCAGTTTGTACTGTACATCACTGTTAGTTACTGTTAATATCAATTTCACTAATTATTTGTATTTGTTTTGACTAAACTCTGCAGTTTAGGCCAAGAGTATACTTTAAATTATGCTTTCATTGTAGAGTGTTAATTAAACCTCCTGAAAATAGTCTCACAGTAAGAAAAAGAACAGAAACTTGACATTACGAGAACACTAAAATAAAACATCCAGGCAGGATCCAATCACATCTGTTCTTATGATGTCATGTCTTTTTTTCTAATGTATTAATTTGACAAAGTCAATAAATAATATTTGAAGTGCAGCACTTAAAATATGAAGCTCCAGTGCAATATACTGGCATTTCAAATACTGTAGTCCTCTGTCAGGAAATCAGAGGGACTTATTTTTTGGGGGGAAGCTCTTTACAGCTTCTCCATGAAAGAATCGCTCAAGAGATTGCCTCAAGACAAAATTTCCCAGTGTTAAGGATGATGTTATTAATATCATTCATTCTTGCATTTCAGAACTGATCCTGACATAACCTTCACAAATTTTCTGTGCCTGGTTATCTTGTGTCATTGATGCCATACTGTTAATATTTCCCAGTGCAGCATTTTTTATAACCTTGTGGCAGGTTATGGAAAATGTCACAGATGATTTGTCAATTTATTGTATATTTTGAGATAAGGATGGTTTTCCCATCCTTGCTTGGCAAAAGCAAGTCCTCCTTCTAACCTTAAGTTTGAAAGGTACTCCTTTGCAAAAGTATTGATCATACTCACACACACAGACACACACAGACACCAGGGCCAATTTTTCCAAAAATCAATTAACCTACCAGTATGTCTTTGGGTTGTGAGAGGAGACTGGAGCACCCAGAGGAATCCCATGCAAACACGAAGAGAACATACAGACTAAATGCAGACAGCACCCCAGGTTGGGAATTGAACTTGGAGCCTCAGTACTGCAAGACAGCAATGCTAATTTATTCAAAGCAGAACAGTGCTTTGGCAGTTACCAGTGCTGCCTCACAGCTCTTGGGTCCTGGGCTCTGTTTGAAGAGGGGGCATCTTCTGTGTGTCATTTGCATGTTCTCCCCTTGTACATGAGGGTTCGTGTGTTTGTATACTGTGTAATGGACTACTGTAGTCTGCACCTAATGCTTCCAGGACAGATTGCAAGTAGCTGAGACACTACTAGAAATAAGTGACTTTCTGATGGCAGATAGATTAATAATCTGAATCAAATGAAGATAATATATTAGATCTTTCCAGATACAAGTAAATTAAAATCTTCAACCAATGATCTAAAGAAAAGCCAGATTTACTTTTTGGTCATCATTGAGCAAAGTGAAAAATCAATGTCATGTCTCCTTAATTCAAGTAAGATGGTTTTGCTTTCTTTGTTTTTCATTTTACTTGCTAAATATCACAGCCAAAACCTTGATAATCAGTTCTTAGCAAAGACCCAATACACAAATAAAAGTGAAAATCAAGAATGGTCTGAAACAGACAGAATAAAAATATTCCTGAAAGTGAAATGTTTTCTGAACTGGAATGAATAAATATTGAAAATAAGCAAACATAATTTGGACAAACAAGAAACTAAAAAGAGAATGCAGACTGATAATGTATTGAACTTATTCTAAAAGCAAAAAAACCTTTTGAATGTATTTTGAAAGAATACATTAGTTACTACACAATTGAAAAAGATGAAATTGCTCCTTGTTTTTTTGCATAAATACATAAGCAATATTTTTATATCAACACCAAGGGAATATTCATATATAGAATGATTCAAAATTGCCATGCCAAGGCATTAAACAAATTCTCTGAAAAATAATATTTTGATATATGAATATAACAGAACTGCGATTGTTATGAAAATTAAGCTGTCAAAGAAAATGACACTTTGCATTCAACTAATTGACAGCTTGTGAAGTAAGCCCAACATAGAATCAGCATTCAAATATTCTTTCAGTGAAAGAAAAACCCTGAAGCCTTTTGTGATATTAAAGCAAGAAAGTCACAGCTTCTTCCAGTTAACATGTACTATTTACAATAGTATTTTTGTGTTAAATGGTGTTTTATTGGACATTACACACATCTGACAGTGCTGTGCATATTTGAAAATAACATCTGTATATTGTTCATTGTGCACACCAAAGCAATTGAAAAATGCAATTTTTGTAAGTGGCATTTCCGAGCTTAACAAACAAAGCAATTATCATTAGGATCTTTAAGTTACTATAATCAAAGTTTTGTTAAATCTGATCATAATTACAAATACCTACAGTATATAAGAAAAACTTCACATTTTTGCTTTCTAGCCTACTTGTCGTTACTTTTAGCCTGTCAGTGTAGGACATTACTTTAAATTCTGGAATACATCTGGTTGCTTATCATGGTTTCTACTGCAGACTTTCCTATAGGTTTTTCCCAGTTTATATGTCATTAAAGCCAATTTTTTATAAGTATTGCTAAAGTATGATTTTCTTCCAAAATAGCCTAAAAGCATTTTCCTCAACACTGGCTAAGCTAACTCAAGCACAATCCAGGATTTATGATTGGGTTTTGGAATATATCATGTTATTACAAGCTATACCCCAATTGGGAATGTTTTCTTACTCCATACCAAAACTCATGCTTTTGGCATCTCAAAAGTACTCCACGATCAGTGGCTTGCATATTTGTACAGTCACATAATCAGCTGTTAATCAATATTTAGGACTACAGGGACTGACATGGTAAGAAAAATACCCAAATAATCTTTTTTAAGATTACAATGCTCACTAGTGTAATATTATAAAATATCCAGTTTAAGACAATTACTGTATAATCTGATCGAGGTTCTTTCATTAGAACCCTTACTATCACAGGCTTTATCAATGGTTTGACCTGCACACTTATAGACCCTGTTCATCGCTTTTTGTCAGTGGTCATGATGTGAGCTGGATAACTAAAGACTGATTCATATACAATTTTTCCCCTTGGTGAACTTTGCATTCGATTAGGCTAATTACAGCTGCTGTTGTATTAGTTCTGCCATCCTCATATCCAGTTATCTAAATGATAATGACTTTGGCTCATCAATTTGAGAAGTGACTGTGGAAGAAATTTGGTGAGTGATGGATTGATGTAATGAGCTTGAAAATTATTGCGGAGGAGTTTTCACGGAATTGAACGCTCTCTGTTTCATCTCCCTAAACACAAATTCTGACTTATAAAAGGTTTTTAAATAGTAATGGACATATCAAAAAGAATTGTCAATCACAAGCAGTGTTTGTTTTTCAAAATCATTTATTACCTTTTGTAATGCATGAGCTGATGAATTGGGATGAATTCTGGGCAATAGTCAAGTCATATTATATGATTAGTCTATATCTCAAATTATATATATACAATATATAACATTATAATATATTATATATCATATTAGATTAATCATATACTGTAAGTGTATGAGTTTGTGTGATACTGAGTTTAGTATAGAATAAAATCCCAGACTTCAAAGTAGTTTCTACAAACAGTCCTAACGAGCCTATCTGTTCTTACTACTGGTTACACTTATCTCAATCGACCACCCCAACCTACTCACAGCTACAGTACCCACCACTGGTTCCTACTCCATTTGGAAAAAAAAGTTGAATTCAGCTTTAAACACTCTTCTGATGACTTCTTTCAGATTTGCCCAGCTTGCTCTCTTACTCCTCAAGGAATCTCAAACGCCTGCATTCGATCCTTCGGGTGCTGGGCTTTGGAAGCCTACTGAGGTTAAATCAGATCCAATCCAAATAAAGCACACTCACCGAAAGCTCTTCTAATGAAGGCGTCTACATCAATTACAGTATGGGTTCCCACTTGTTCTTCGGGTGTTCCAACTGCCACATTCCAGTATGGCCAAATTATCGTTCCCTCAGCCAGACAGGGTAAACCGAAGAAAATATTTACAAATTGTGTCTCTTCTCCATCTGAGTTAGGATTTGGACTGAATTGCTGATAAATTCCCAACAATTTCATAAAAACTGCTACCTCAGGTGGCACTGAATGGAGTTTTCTACGTCACATCAACAATGTTCAGTAATATATATTTTGCTAAGAATAAAAGTGAAAAAGGGGAAAAGGTTATTAAGAAACATGTAAGTTACATACATGGAATTAGATATATTTAGGTCATACACTTAGATAATCTAAAGGACATTGGTAGAAAATTGTGTATTAAAATTTTACAGACCTGTAGCGAAACAAAGTTTGATTGCCAAAGGTGAGTTTATAGTGAAGTTTATAACATTGATTTTTTAAAATAAACCCACAACATCAGTTGTTATGAGGAGTTCTACAATGTTATGCAGAAGAACTTCAGATGGATTATGTATGAATAATAATGTATTTTCTTACACAAAGGAAGGCTGTCATGTTTGAAAGTCATTCAAGGGATACAAAGATTCACAAAGACCTTTAGAACAAGACTGCCGAGTCTTAAAAGAGTACTGTAAATACCACTGCCAATATAATGTTCTGCATGGGTGCCTGCACCGCCCTTAGATTAAAGGGCCAAGAAATCTAAGATGGAAAAGCTGACAGTTTGATATCAATGCATTTTTATTCTGTGCACTTTTTTATTTGTATGATCTCCTGAGAACAATACATGTGACTTTCCTGAAGTGACTTCAGTCAAAGGCATGAGCATGCTACATTCAAAAATACACTTGGAGCATGAGCCAGCTGGGCATAAACTTATACTCAAAATAGCAACTGGGTTAATGAGCCACACAACACTTAATCTGTTGTCACTCAGCACATAGTTGTCATGGTGCTTTGCCACTGACAGCTTAAATAATAAGCTTTTTCTTATTATTCCAGGCCATTTCACAAGTTGACACCCCCAACACCTACACATTTTCTCTTCAGATATATAGCAATTATATTTGGACAAGTAAAACAAAAAAAAACATACCTGGGTTTTGTTCATGGTCTTGCTTAAATTTAGGTTAAAACCAAAATTAGGTTACATTATTCCTTGGACATAAAAGGAACTTAAATAATATTTCGTTTCTATGTAATTTCCATTCACAATTTCCTATCTGAACAAACAATGTGAACTTTTCAGGTTATTAATGAGTTTGATTAAATTTGTTATTCCTCACTCTGCAAAATAGTCATCACAATGCTATCTGACACTAAAGGCTACCATCTTAGTAATGTAACAAAATAATAAAACAAAATGTGTGAAGTATTAACATACA